CAAAGATGAGAAAATGCACCGAAAACTGAGAAAATTATCCACTTGCTGAATTTGCAGGGCGTTAATAACTTGGCCAAACGTGCCGATTGGGAGATCGTGTCTTTTGCAAATTCCATATTAATTAAATTTGTGATTGGTTGACACTGGTTTGCTCAAAATCTGAGAGCATACGTTGGGACACCTTCATTGTTAGTCATAGTCTACAAAGTTTTGATAAAAAAATTAGCTAAAAAAAGCTCCTGATCCGTGTAAACGTACAAAAGTTTAAATGTAAGCTTCCCTGTCAGTAACATTTGGCATATTTTGTATATTGAGGGAATTCACGCAGTCCTTTGTAAAATCCGTAAATTATAAAGTTTTACAAATATTTCTAACTAAAATTAGCCTACAAATTTTTGCAAACTTAGATTCTCAGATCAAGGGCGTTTCTTTCTTTAGCAATAGATTGTAAAATTATTTTACAAAATTTACCCATTATACAAAGTTACCAAGGTCTTAGTGAATTGCTTCATTATTTGACAAAGTTAGACGTCTTTACGCATTTTTGCACATCATGCAACTGTATAACGTGGATTTTAGGTTAGCGTTTCTCAAACTCAAATTGCCAAAAATCTCAAATTCTACGAATTTTACAAGTAACAAACGCCAGAGTGAATTGTCTCAACATGTTCAGTGAATTACGTTGAAAATCATGTTTAAATTTATTAGGGAATAATAATTACTTTCTCACATTGCATTTTTCAGAAATATTTTTTAGTAAGCATTTCCTTTTTGAAAATTATATACAATAATTTAACAAACTTTTACCAAATAAAGAGACACTCTTGATCTGACAAAGTTTACGAAAATTTGTGAGCTATTTTTCCTTCGAAATAGTGTTAAAAGTTTGCAAGTTTACAGAATTTACCGATTTTACAGAGTTACCAAGGCCTGATTGAATTTCCTGCCTCAGTATTTGACAAAGTTAAATGTCTTTACGCATTTTTGTGCATCTTGGAACAGCTTGAATTGGACTTTCGTTTTGTAAATTGTTTTTGTAACTCAAATTGCCAAAAATCTCGTAAAATCCGTAAAATTTGCGGATTTTACCCATACCTGTTCACTTTCATTCATGTGACTGATTATGATAGAGAATGCTAGTGAATGAAAATGAATTTCCTGTGATTTGAATGAAAATGAGTGAAAGATTCCATGATTTCAGATGAATGACTCTGAATGAAATGATTTTTCACTCCTTCATTTTTCACCCAATGCTCACTACATGGGGCGAAGTAAGAAATGAAGTCAGATGATGTTAAATGAAATGAAATGAGTTGGAAAGAAAATGAGTGAGTGTGAATGAAAATCTTCAGTCAGAAATCGGAACGACTGAACTTTGAATGAAAAAATTTTTTTTGAACGGGTATAATTTTACCTTTGGTACAAACTTTTCAAGGAATGCAAAAAATTTAGCAAACCCGCAAGAAACGAATCACCTTGAAGATTACAGAACGTCGCAATTAATAACCCGCTCTCACCCGTTATCTCATTGCTACAATCTCCAATCGACGTTTCGAACTCGTCTAAATCGACCGTTTGAGAAGTATGGCTTATTTTGTAGACTTGGTAGATTGTGACGTTGTCGCAGGTCATCATCATGTGACCGTTGTCATACTCGACCTTTCCACACTTCAGTTCGACCCCTGACTCGTAACTGATATCGGTGAACCCAAAGGCAGAGCGGAATTTCGTCTTGAGTGGCTCCGTCACCGTGAGAACATCACCGACACGATGGAAGTTTGTGAAACCGATTATTTTTCCTTCAAAAAGGCCAGCCTTACAGCCGGATTCCTGGAAAGGGAAGTTTTAGCAAGTTAAACATCGTAAAATGGTTAAAATCATGGATTTGTAAAGTGTGTAAAAAAATATTTGATTAGAAGTCTCAAGGCTAAAGAAATTCTAATCGTAATATGTTGAAATTATCGTACCTTAGTGTATCGAAAATAATCGAATTTGTAATATATCAGAAATCATCGAATTCTAAATATATTAAAAATCGTCGAATTCATAGTATATAAAAAATCATCGACTTCATAATAAGTTAAAAAACATCGAATTTGTAAGGTACCAAAAATCATCGATTTCTTAATGTACCAAAAATCATCAAATTCGTAACATATTAAAAATCATCGAATTTGTAATATTTCAAAAATCATCGAATTCGTAGCATATTAAAAATCATAGAATTCGTAACATATTGAAAATCATCGAAGTTATTTCTAACCTCCACTTCCAAATCTGGCGGGTGAAGTTCTTCCATCCCAAGTTTTATCATTTGGGTCCTTACTGATTCCATTACCGTGTCCACGATAAGCGTCCCATTGAACTTGAATTCCGGTTTTGTTATCCGGGTAGGTCCGGAAAACATGCTCATTGCCGTGGAACCCATCCCCACCGCGGTCGACCCCATCATTTTCATGTCTTCTTTACTCGGCATGGATTTCGGAATGGGCGGCTATTTTAAAATTTAATATGCAAATTTAAGCTTTCAGTTCTTTCGTAATGTCTCTAATACATTTTTCTCATTTTTACCCATAACTCAAAGCAACATAGAGTATTTCTCTATGTTTTTTTTTATTTTTGAACGTTCACGAATTATTAAAATTTTTGTCTTTTGAGGAAACATTTTTGTACAAAATCAAAATATCTTTAAAATGCATTTCTATACGTAACCTTCTCAAATTTAATTTCTTCGTAGGTTTTATAATGCATTTTATCGAATTGACCTGGGAAATTCTGAACAGGAGAAAATTTTTTAAACACCAATTTATTTACTTAGTTAGTCATTCTGGACAAAATTTTTTGAAATAGTGTAAATATTTAAAATGATTTGAAATTTAAATCCTATAATTTTGGAAATATGAAAATAGGATGAGATTCCTTACATGTATGAAAATATCAAAAACTTTTTTAATACAACCTTTGCAACTGTATTTATAAGTTTAAATTTGAGGATATTTTCGGTATATATTTTTGCCAATAATTTTTTGTAGGAAATTTCAAAGTGAACTTGTAGATAAATTATTATTGACATAAATTTTGTATCAACTATTAAATTTTTTAAAATCAAGTTTAAGTTTCTGATTAAGATTAACATGATTTGTGTATGAAGCTAATTATCTATATATTAAAAAACTCTATATGAGAATTGTAAGATTTTTCAAAACGGCGTATTTACGATACATTTTTTAAATGTTCTAAATTTCTGTCCGAATAAAATTTCAAAATTGTTTCAAAATCACCAAACTTGTAATCCAACCAGTCAAAATTTACTTTTCAATGCAATTAAATTTGTACATAAGCAAAGCCTAAAATGCAAATGCAGCTGTTTCAAATATTTGTAACTGATAAGTTTTTACTTTCTGTAATCAGCTAATGGGATATCTCCCCCAGTAACTTTATATTTTTTCAATCTGATATCCCAATTATCGTCGCTAAACCTTTCCTTAAAAATTAAAATTCAAAATTTATTGAATTTTCTAAAACCGAGGTTAAGTTTCTGAATAAGATTATATTGAATTTTCTAAAACCGAGGTTAAGTTTCTGAATAAGATTATATTAAATTTTCTAAGACCGAGGTTAACTTTCTGAATAAGATTAGAACAATTTGAGACAACCCAAATATCTATATGAAAGGAATTTAAGATGAGAATTATAAAATTCTCAAAACGACGTATTTACGATACAGTTAAAAAATGTTTTAAATTTCTATCCAAATAAAATTTCAAAGTAAAATTTCAAAATTACCAAACTAAATTTATTTTTCAGTGCAATTAAGCCTAAAATGCAGCTGTTTCAAATATTTGTAACTGATAATTTTTTTACTTTCTAAAGTCGGCCAGCAGGAAATCTACGCAGTAACTTTATATTTCTTAAATCTGATATCCCAACTATCGTCGCTAAACCTTTCCTTAAAAATAGTTTTGACTTGAAAATTCTTACCATTGTACAAAATTTCATACTTACAAAATCTCCGGATCCCTTCCGCTTAAATTTTGCGTCACAAATCGAGATCGACCATATTCCAATAAGTACGAAGAAAACCAGGGGGGAAATTATTTCAAATTTGCCCTTACGTGAGACCATCATCTCAAAAAAATTGATTTTTTTAAACCAAATGTTACTTCTGTTCTCCGAAATACGTGATAAATAACCTTCCACTTTTCTTACCTTAAGTAAAGACCACGACAATGTCGTAAATTTTGCACTTCTAAATAAATAACAATGTCCTGACGTTAATGGGTACTTACTTTAAATGTCGTTAAGTTCGGGTCTTGTCAAAATTATGTAAATAATTGTTTGCATTGTTTCTTTGTAATGCATGGATAAACAGGGTTCGTAAAATATGGATCGTATATTTTTAAGAAATTTTATGTTTTGCGTTAAAAAAGTGTGCAACAAAATGCAAATGGATGAAGAATTCTTTATGGAACCACAAGGATTTACCTGTTACTTTTTTTTAAATATTATACTTTCGAATAATTTTGTAACGGAAAAAAGAAGCATCGAAAAACATTTTTTTAAATTAACATCAAACCCGTAAAAAAACATCAAGAAATATAAAAAAAAGATTTTAAGAACATCAAAAAATTTCAAAACATCAAAAAATTTCAAAACATCAAAAAAACGTTTTAAAATACCTCAACAAGCCTCAACAAAAATCAAAAGAAACAAAAACATCAACAATTAATTTATGTCGTTTTAATGTCGATTTGTGATCAAAATACAGTGTTTTTCGAACCCTACAACTGAAGTTGAAAAACAACTCTACAAAGTCATGGGCAAATACAGGTATCATGAAATTGTTGTATTTTTTATGCCATTTAAATACTATGTTTTCGTAATTTGTTAAAAAATCGAATGCTATGTATTCGGAAACTTTGCAATCTTGTGTTTGTATATTTTACATGCAATTTTATTATCTAATTATGCTTTAGATATGAGTAGTAAAATCTTTGATGTTTGCTTCAAAAATAAATATTTATTGACATTTCCATCTTTAAATTAGAATCATTTGTCTTTCAGAACTATATCACAGCCTTTTTTAAATCAATAATGAGACTATTCATGGCCAACTTTGTAACCTTTGTAAACTTGATAAAAAAAATTATTTTTGATATTTTCACAAATTTAAAAAAAAATCCTTCGACTTAAGGTTAACTAACTTTCGCTTAGGATTTTTTAAATACAATTTACAAAGTTCCACAGCTTTGCGTTGTTCAAGCAAGACAAACTTTGTAAAGTTTATAATAAAATTATTTTAGAGATTTCTACAAATTTTAAAAAGCCCTTGATTTTCGTTCTGAATTTTTCGTCTACAATTTACAAAGTTACAAAGCTCTGCGTGAATCGCGTTCTTATCCAAGAAGGGCTGTCCTGGCAGCGGCGAGGGCGGCATTTATGGCAATTTTGAACCCCGTATTGAAAGCGAGAAGCATGGGCGCTTTCAATTTCGAAAAGAGCGCGTTCATGACGGTGCTCGCGTTGGCGGCGCGCTCTCCGAGACCCGTCGCGTTGTAGTTGCACTCGCCAATGGACAACTCAAACTCGTCAAGGGTCAAGGTCTGCGTGAGGTGGTCCAGCTTGAAAACCTGGAGATAGAAAATTTTTAATGTTAAAAATTAAAAAAATTTTATTGTCCGAAAATGTTTAAATTTTAAAAATTTTAAAATATAGCATTTCAGATTTTTCAGACTTCAGACATCTGCATTTTAAGACATTTAAGATGCAAAATTTCAGATTTTTAAACCTTCAGACATCGAAAACTTTAAGATACAAAAATTTCAGATTTTTAAACCTTGAGACATCAGAATTTCTTAGGATTTTAGCTAACTTTTTTTGCCAAGTATTCAAAAAACCACATCCAATTTTTAGTTAACATCAATCCATAAAAATCGTGGCAACTTTGAAAAATTATTTATGAATTTTTACCTATATTTTTGCAAAACTTCCAGGAATTTATATAGATACACAATTTTTAGGTAACGTTAATCCTTGGATAAAAATTGTGAATATTTTACTACGAATGGAAGAAATGTTCTACTTTTTGCTAAAATTGCATAAACTTCTAAAACAAAGTATCCACAATTTGGCAAGTCTACCCAACTTGACGTGAACACGCTAAACAACATGTTGCAAAAATTATTTCCTACTTCATTAATTTTCACTGGTCATGACTTCACCGGACATTCATTTTCATTCGAAATTTTAGAAAGTTAAGAAATTTTAGAATTTTTTCATTGGAAATGTTCATCCCAAAATTTTTACCTGGTACGCCGTAACATTGTCGCAGTCCGAGTGGACATGTCCGTTATCGTAGTTGGCGTCTTTTGTATGAATCTGGACGTCGGCGTCAGAGCTGACGTTGTACACGGCGAAGGCGGACCTGAACTTGGTGTTGAGAATGGTCACGTTCACGATGACGTCTCCGACACGATATGCGTTCGCCATTCCTTTAATCGATTGGTTCCTGATGGCCAGACTATAGTTGGAAAACTGCAAAATGAAAAAAAAAATTGCTAATACGAAAGAAATTTGTAATACTGTTTTTTTTTGTAAAATTCGAAAAGCAAGACATTCAAATAAATTTGCAAACATTTCTAACGAACATGTAGCGCTAAAAATTATTTTTCCAATATCAGTGCAAATCAATCATCGAGGTTTAAGAGCTTGCAAAATATTGTGAAATTAGGAAAACAATTTTTTGTCAAATTAAGAAATCAATTCCCGAAATGGATAAAAAGCTGCAAATATTTTTAGCGAATACATATGATATATAAATGCATAATAAATTTCCAATTAATAAGATTATTTTTTGCAAATTCAGATAACAAATGGGTAAAAAATTGCAAATATTTTTAACGAATATGCAAAATTCATGTTTCTACAGATGTAAACTAAATATTTTTAAAAAGTACAAAAGCTTGCAAAAAATTGCAACATTAGTTCTTACACCGAATGGATCCTTAAGGACCACATCTGGTGGGTTGATATCATCCCAGCCTTGCTTAATCACTTCTGCCCTCACACTATCCATCACCTTGTCCGTAAGCGTGGTTCCATTAAGCTTTAAAAAATCAAATTTCAAAATTTTCATTTTATCAAAATTAACATTTTCTTCAAAATTTCCTGAAAACTTTCGCCAAAAAATTGTATACAGATATTTACCTGTAAAACAGGCTGTTTGATTTTAGTATCCCTTTTACTCTCAACGAAACCCGAGCTAACGGCGATCAAAACCAGGATAAAAAATGGACTCATTTTTATTTTTTTGTAAAAAAAATTCTCAGAAATATTGCAAATTCTAGTTCCCAATTACTAAACAATCTTTCCTCATCTGATACCAATTTCCCCGAAACGTATCCAATTTAAACGATTTTTTAACCAAACCCGGAATCGCGAATTGCGTCAAATTTCTAAGCCATCAATCTCTCTACCTACAAAAGGAATCCATTAATTTTCGCAAAATTGTCGCGATAAATTATCCAGAGCACATACATACATATTGCGAAATTTATTAATAACTCGTGCTCTTTTTTTGCAACTCATTATTAAAATCCAGTCCAGACCCACGGCTTCAAATAGTGATTAATTTACATACGAATAGCCATGAACTTTATCCTCCAATGACAGACCCCAAAACCACAATTGGTCCAATTTGTGTAAACTTCACCTAGAAAAAGTATGGCGAAACGAGTACTTTTTATTACTTAACAATGATGATGATGAGGTATGTGCATAGTCCAAATTGTCGCGATGATGATTTATCAATGCGGATTCATTTGATTGCAAAATTAATAAATTTAACGAAAAAATGGAAAAGTCCAAAGGTGAAATTTATACGTTTTTTATGCGATTTGGATACAGATTTATCCTGGAATTAATCAAAAGTCCAACCGTTTATTGTACGATATGATTATTTTTTATGTATGTATGTAAAATTGGTCAGGAATACAGAACGGTGCATTATGTGCTATCTCCACAAGTGAGATAGCACATTGTAACTGTAAAATTACGTAAAATTCAAGTTACAAAGACTTCGTGTTTAGATCCACCGTGTTTCACTTTGCAAAATAATAAGGCAATTCACTAATCCTATGATATTTGTAACAGAATAAATTAAATGTGTAAATTTTGCAAAGTTAAATTATAAAATCATTATGCTCGTCTTTGAAGGTTAGACAATTCACGCAGTCCTTGGTAACTTTGTAAAATCCATACGCTTTGTAATTTTACAAACTTCTACAAAACAAAGGGACGCCCTTGATCTGAGCAAATTCGCAAAAATTTATAAGCTAGTTTTCCTCATAAATATGCGTAAAATTTTACAAAAGTTTACAAGTTTACGGAATTTCTAAGGCCTGCTTGAATTGTAAGGATGCATTGCATTTTTTTCCGCATAAGTTGTACACCGGTGAAGAATAAATATTTATTTGTCTTAACTTTGAAGTTTTTTAGATCGGTCTTCAATGTACGCTTTACATTAAAAAAAACTGGTATTAAATCATTACTGGCCGAAGGATATATGTATATGACTCTACCGGCACTGGTAGTAACGGACATTACCGTCTAGTAATGACGTGGTAATGAAAAATTTACCAGGGTATTTACCAGCTCGGAATCCAAAACTTGAGCATTCTACTTAAGTAGAATTTTATGAAAATCAACAAAGAAATTTTTAAAATTTGTGACAACTGCGTATGTAGCTTCACCTAAGAAAAGAATATGCTACTAGGAATTTTATCTATTTACTGGAAACTGGAGTAATTTTCCATACAAAACAAACGTATGGCATCTTCACAAACATATTTAATGCCTCAAAAACATTTAACGAATCCCAACTTTAATTCTCGTAACCGCAAACGTTTCACAACAGTCAAACTTTTATTACAATCAATAATCAAATTGGACAAGTTTCATCAACATACCAATTATGCGAATTTTTCATATCCATCCATGGGTCACTTCTCTTCGCAAAATTGTAAGCTCAACATTAAGATAAAACGAATCCAAAAACAAACCATATTACAAACTTATCGTAACTTACACAAATCAAGAGAATATTTTTGAATCGATGTATCGGTAGTTTAAAAACTTAAAAATTTGTAAAAATCGTATCAAAATTTGAAGCATTTTTTTCATCCTTGGGACAAGTTTTGCCGAATTTTTGCTAAATTTGCGAACAAGAATCAGTATAAACCGATCATAAAGTTACACAGATCGGTTGGCTCTCTTTAATGAAAAAGCTCGTAGATTAAGTTCTTAAATTAAATTAAGTTCATAAATTAACTTCCGAAATTGAAAATTCAAATATTCGACTCTGTCAGAAAATTCATGTCCATCGTGCAACCAAAATTTCCGAATTCAATATTCATCATCTCATATCGTTCCATGGTCCACGTTCAATGATAAACTTACGTACATTCAATTCAGTCAAAACTAGAAATAACCCCCCATTTCTGCTTTTTAAATAATTCTACAGAATTCCATCCTTCACCAACAAACCTCCAAAAATTAGCCGGCATTCATATTGACTTTGACAATTGAAGAATCCATCCAACAGGAAATTATTACAAAACCGCAACTGTTTCCCAATTAATACTCAGATTTCTCCCCAGATTTCACAAATTCTCAATCAACAACAGATCAACAACCAATTAGTCTACTTTACTTCATTATTATTTATCAGTTTTATCCAGATTTATCCATACCATATATGAAATAAGCCCAAATTTGCATAAATACTCAGGCCTTTTCAGTAAGTCCTAAATACAAAATTCGCCAACTAACACGGTTTCCCTTTGTTTTGACTGGGGTACCCCAAACCAACCACAAATTGGGGCAAATTATGTCCCTACTTACACAGACAAATTCTTATTGTTTACTCCAATAAACAATAGCTATTGTTTACCTACCCCAGCATTTTTTCACAGGTATGAAGAAACGTCACGGAAATATTTTAGGGGTCCAGTTTTTGGTTAAATTGGAATCTGCAGAATTCGGCAGTTCTCACCTTTTGGACGAGCTGGTTGGTCGTTTTGAAAATACAAAAAAAAACGAAACGAAGCGACAGAGATTGTCCAAATTTTGGGATTTGAGATAGACAATTAATTTCCCAGTTAATTAATTGGACAGTAAATTGTTCAAGTAATTAAGGTTTAATTGATTAAAAGTTTTAATCTCGAAAATCGACACGAAACGACAGAAATTGTCCAAAATTGATCATACTTGAGGCAAACAATTAATTACCCAGCCAATTAATTAAATAGTTATTTCTTAAATAAATTAATCTCAATTTAATCTCAATTTAAAAAAACACGAAAAGAAGTGACAGAGATAGTGAAAAATCTGGGATTTGAAACACAATTAAGTTTCAAGTTAATTAATTGCGCATTTAATTTCTCAATTAATTTAATCTCTATTTTAAATTAATGCTCTGGCATGGAGAGCAATTGGATTGACAGGATTTTTGAGAAGGGATGGTCCCCAAGAATTTCGGCGGGTATCGTGATACCCGGACTTTTTATCCTCAGTGTGGCCGTGTACTACTGGTGGATTGCGGGGAGGGAGTGGGCCCGTCGCTTTAATAAATTGGGGGGACCAATTTGCCTCCCGTTTTTGGGGTGTGGCTGGATCATCCTTAATCCAAACAGTGAGAGACATTATTTATTTATACAAAATTTTTTAGATTGCTAATTTTTTGACAAATTTTTAAATTTAGAAAATTATGTGATAAGATATAGAGTTAATAGGTTAGAACGAGTCGAGTGTTTTCTCCAGGGTTGTATTTGTGTGGCGAGATGAGAAAAATGAGACGAGAAAAATGAGATGGGAAAAATGAGACGGGAAAAATGAGAAAATTGAGAAAATACGACTTGTACGTGTTGGTTAGTGGGGAAAATGAGAAATATTGCTATCATTCAGTCTCATAAACACAGGCTTATGAAAAATCACTGAAATATTTACCAGAATTTAAGAAACATATACGAAAAAGGAGCAAAAAAATAAGAATCTTGGAAAAATTTATGTGCACTATTGAATATTTATAATGCTCTGGATTTTTTGTGATCCAATTTGTTTTGAGAAAAAAAATTTCGTCTCACATCGTTGAAATATATACTAAATATGTGTTTCCAAAAAAAACTACCTACAAGATTTACATATTTTTCAAATAATAGTGGAAATATATCTAAATATTTATATATATTGAAAACCTAGAAATATTTATATGCGATACAAGATATTAATATATTTTTAAATTTTCGAGATCTACAAAGATTTGAAAAACACACACCCGTAAAATTTGACGTACTTATTATTAATTATTAATATGTAATTTCTCTTACAAGCAGCGGTTGCACGTCAATTGTGAAAATTATAAATAAATTATATACAACAATTAGTTCAGATTTGTCTCTTCTGTGAGGAAAAAGTACAACTTGTTAAAATAAGTAGGAAAGGATTCAGAAATATTAAAGTTATATTGAGACAATACACTTCAGTCTTCGTAACTCCGTAAACTTACAAAGATCACCTTACGAACGAAAAACATGCCCTTTATTTCCGTAAAGTTTTGTAACTTCGTAAGAAAAAATTACCTTCGAGATGTTCCCAAGTTTTGTCAAAAGTTCGTAAGTTTCGTAAATTTATGTGGTTGCGGATTTACGACGTGAATTGCCTCAATATAAATTGTCACTAATTATATGACAATGTGTCAAAAAATTCAAAAAATTCACACACAAGTCAAAAACATCAGGCAATTCACGTCAACTTTCGTAACTCCGTAGACTAAAGTGAACTTACAAAGATCAGCTTACGAACCAAAGACGTGCCTTTTATTTCCGCAAGGTTTTGTAACTTCGTAAGTAAAAATTACCCTTGATATGTTCCCAAGTTTCGTCAAAAGTTCGTAAGTTTATGTGGTTACGAAGGCTGACGTGAATTGCTTCATTGCAACCTAACAAAGCCCTTGGCGTGCTCTACATCTATTCACATTTCATAAAGTACCAATTTCATAAACTTCTATTTTTGACGTCCCAATTTTACTAAGATTTTTGGATTTGACTTACTTCAAAAAGTTTTACAAAATATGTAATTTGGATTTGTGCAAGGTAGATTTATGACCAAATTTTCTTCAAAAATCTGAATGCATTTGCGAAATGGATATGTTTTCAGACTTTGAAGCAATTCATGCAGAAGGTTGGCGGAAATTGCGTCATAATTTTTTAGCAAAATTAGCTACTTAATCGAAATTAAATTTTATTATTAAGTATTTATTAATCAATTAATTATTATCATCAATCAATTACTATTAATTATTATAATCAATTATTACTAATTATTAATCATTACAGGAATTCACGAGCAGATTGGCAAGTATGGGAAAATTTACAAGAAAAATGCCCGATTCTGGTTGGGTCATCTTCCCTACTTTATCACGACGGATGTTGAAATTATTGAGGTAATTTTAAATATCAGATAATCTCCATGAAAAAATTTGAAATGTTGAGAATTTTTCCTCCAGAAAATTCTGACCAATCCGGCAAATTTTGAGAAAGCTGAGGCATACTCGAACTCACATTTTCTCGTGGGACAAGGGCTCGTTGCGGCGTCAGGTAATAAATACAAAATTCTACTAAAATGTTACTATCTATACTCTAAATAATGTGGTAGTAATTTATTACCGGAAGGTTTGTCATAATAGTAAAAACTTGTTTCACTCAAAATATTGGTTAAAAATTTATGACCACTGGTAGCAAATTTATAACCAGTGGTGAATCACCACTGGTGATAAATTTGTAACAAGCCGGTGACAAATTTATAACCATGAGTCATATCTCTTTACTTTTTGGTTATAATCGTAACCGAATTATTTTAGTGTTGTAACGAACTAAAAATTTCTAAATAATCAGGTTACAAAAGTGTTTCCAGACCTGGTAATACCGTTTGTTACCGTGAGGATAAAACAAAAACTTGCAAATATTACAAAAATTTCTCGATTTAATAGAATCAATTAATCTCCACATTTAAGTTTATTACCAATCGGTGACATTACATTTATTACTAAATATCGTTAAATATTTTTCTTGATTTTCTAGTCCCAAAGTGGAAAAAGGATCGCAAGGTAATGCTCCCTTGCATGAAATCGACTATGTTTCCCACATATTTGGAAAACTTTAATAAAAATTCGGCCATTTTGGTGGAAATATTGGGCAAAATATTTACCCATGATGCTCAACCGAGTTGCGACATCCGACAACATTTTGCAAGATGCATGATTGACGTTGTATTCGGTTAGTGAGACATATTTTGTATTTCCGAGATTTCCAGCATTTTAAAATATTTCCAAAATTTTGAAATTAAAAAAAAATACAAAATATAGAAACACTCCTCGATACTGATGCAAAGGTTCAGAAATGTCCTGAATCCCGTTTTTACGAAGCTTTTACAGAGTAAGTTCGCTTAAACACTTGTAAGTTTAGGATTTCGTATTTTCGTGGAAATTTATGAAGTGCAAAAATATTTAAATTTTTGCAATATAACAAAATATCAAATTGTTATTTTCTAGATGTTTTCATATCGTGGAATCTAAAATGTTTCTCCCTTGGACTAAATTCCCCCCGCTCTGGTACCTTTTGGGGTATAGGGACGCAGAGAAAAAAAATATGGACATTCTCAGAAGAACGATCAGTGAAAAGGTAGAATATTACACCTTTCACGCAGCCCTTAGTAACTTTGTAAAATAAAATCCGTAAATTCTGTGAACTTGCAAGATTTTACAAACATTTCTGAGGAAAACTAGCTTCCAATTTTTTTTAATTTGCTCAGATCAAGGGCGTCTGTTTATTTGCTAAAAGTTTGCAAAATTATTTTATAAAACGCGCGGGTGTTACAAATTTACCACGTACTGCGTGAATTGTTATCCTTAAAAAGAGGCATTGATCTTGTAATTTAACTTTGCAAAATTTACGCATAACTTACTCCTTTACAAATTTGCCTCATTATTTTGCAAAGTCAAACACGGTGGATCTGAACCCTAATTCTTTGTAGCTTGAATTTTACCTATTTACACGTAATTTTACAGTTACAAAACTCTCCATGAGTCAATTCTCATGATTACTTGACAGTAATTTATCTCACAATAAACCGTCGCAAACGCGCATACGGAAGTAGCTTCAGACGTACTTCACCCCAAACGGTCCCACCACAACTCGGGAACACTTAATTTCACTCTATTTCACCTATAGATTAATTTTTTTGTAAAAATCTCATTTTGCCCCGACCACACCCCCTGGCGACGAGGGGGTGTGGAACAACTCGGGAACACTTAATTTCACTCTATTTCATCTATAGATTAATTTTTTATAAAAATCTCATTTTGCCCCAACCACACCCCTGGCGCCTAGGGGGTGTAGCACAACTCCGGAACACATAATTTTACTCTATTTCACCTATAGATTAAATTGCACTAAAAATCTCATTTTGCCCCAACCACACCCGCTGGCGCCGAAGGGGTGCGGCAAAATCGGGGAAACACTCAATTTCACTTAATTTCACTTAATTTCATTTAATTTCACTCAATTTCACTTAATTTTACCCATAGAATAAATTGCACTAAAAATCTCATTTTGCCCCAACCACACCCCCTGGGGCCGAGGGGGTGTGGCACAATCGGGGAAGCACTCAATTTCACTTAATTTCATTTAATTTCACTCAATTTCACCTAATTTTACCCATAGATTAAATTGCACTAAAAATCTCATTTTGCCCCAACCACACCCCCTGGCGCCGAGGGGGTGTGGCACAACTCCGGAACACATAATTTTACTCTATTTCACCTATAGAATAAATTGCACTAAAAATCTCATTTTGCCCCAACCACACCCCCTGGGGCCGAGGGGGTGTGGCACAATAGGGGAAGCACTCAATTTCACTTAATTTCACTTAATTTCATTTAATTTCACTCAATTTCACCTAATTTTACCCATAGATTAAATTGCACTAAAAATCTCATTTTGCCCCAACCACACCCCCTGGCGCCGAGGGGGTGTGGCACAACTCCGGAACACATAATTTTACTCTATTTCACCTATAGATTAAATTGCACTAAAAATCTCATTTTGCCCCGACCACACCCCCTGTCGCCAAAGGGGGTGTGGTCCGGTTGCCCCCAAAAGTTGATAGGATCCTCCCCCTGGGGTCCTATGTATGATGGCGAAAACCGATTTCGATTATCTCGATCCGTTCTCCTGATATCCTGCTGACAGACAGACGGACAGACAGACAGACAGACAGACAGACAGACAGACAGACAGACAGACAGACAGACAGACAAAGTCTTCACATAAAGTAGCTGAAGCTACTTAATAATTTGGTTAGATTAGCAGAGTGTTTTTATTTAACATGCTCGAATTCAACGTCATTCGTGAAGTTCACGAATTTTGTTATTATTAATTGGAAGTGGAGGTATGCGGTCGAAAGTTTATGTAAGTAAGGTGCAATTGGATGCGGGTTTGGAATTTGAATTTTTGTGTCTCAAATTTCCCTTCTTTCATGTATTCAAATGCTGATTTTGAAAACTGTCATCTCTGTGCATTTTTTTAAACGAAGGTTTTATTGTATTCAAAACCCCACAAAGGGGTTTTAGGTTTGCAAAGTTAGGTTCGAATTTTGATTTTTTTTTCTTCCATAAGAAAATATTTAGTTTTTATTTATTATTTTTCATCTAATTTATTTCTATTTTTGCATGATTACATGATTTTATACTTTGTTTATACGTAATTTCGTATTTACGAAGGTTGACTTGAATTGCCATAAATTTTTAAAATTTAAATACTTTCCTTTAGTATTTTCTACGCAATTTGCTACTTCTTTTGCTCCTATAGACCTGAAAAGAAATCTATTTAATTTTATTGTAGATTCAATTTGTTTATATTATTCTCGTCGAAAAGAAAGAAACCTTTTTAACTTTTGTTATAGATGATTCGCCAAAAAATGGAAGACTGGCGTCAAAATAATAATAACGAAACTGATGAAAATCGTAAGAATGAGATTTACAAATATATGTATGTATGAGTTTATGTACTTTTACTTATGGTATTTTGTAAACTTTACAACTTTTTTGTTAAATAGAAAGGTTACAAATGGCCCATTATCTTTATCAAACTGGGGATTACGATAGTACGGACTTGTTCCACCAATTTTTAACCGTTTTGGCCGGTGTAAGTAAATAAAGCTAATACAATTCCTATATTTTTTCAAGAAATATTTGATTTCTTTCTAGGGGTACGACACGACATCTACCGTTCTGAGCCACACGATTTATCTCCTCGCACTAAATCCCGACATCCAAAGGAAATTAATAGACGAATTGGATTCTGTGTTTGAAGGTAGAATTTAATATGGTATTTTAATCTTTTGATAAGGTTTCCGAAGTAATTTTAAAATTAGCGCTGGCCTAAAATTTCAAAGGGTGTATCCAATTTTTGTCATTTTATCCTCATAAGATTTTAGATGATTTGATATTGATTGTTTAGCTAATATTAAAAATCACAAAAAAATCTGAAGGGTTTCCTGGCAGATTATTTTACATATTATGCTTATTAAAAATTAGCAAGACCAACCTAATAACCTCTCAGAAAATTCTCCAAGGAATTGAGGCTATCAATATTGTCTAAATTAGTAATCAAACCGCTCTCGAAAAATTTACGCAGAGACTAAAAACTGCCCTGTCTTTTTTCTCTATTAGACGCTCACCGTCCCGCCACCCCTGCTGACCTGGAGCAGTTGAAATACCTGGATTTAGTCCTCAAAGAATCGATGCGATTTATCACACCAACTCCAATGTTGGGCAGAACCCTGGGTGAAGATTTGGACCTCGGAATGGGTCGCGTCGTGCCCAAAGGGTGTAACATTCTTGTCTCAGCGATGCATGTCCAGCACGACCCAGATCTTTGGCCAGACCCCGAGATCTTCAGACCAGAAAGGTTCCTGACGCAGAGCGGGAACGAAAAGGGGACCAAGTTTTTCAGTTATTTACCCTTTTCAGCGGGGCCGAGGGGTTGTTTTGGTAAGAAATCCACGGTCAAAATCAATCTTCATAAGAAACTCGTGTTAACGTAGGACTCGATAACTCATCGCTAAAATCCAGACAATGAACACATCTTAAATCATTTCTCGCCTCTAGGAATTTATTTAAAAATTATGAACGACGAACTTGTACAGCAGGTCGTTGCCAACTTAAAAAATATATACACTCCATATTTTTACAGTTTTTGCCGGAGGAGATTTCAAGTTTAAGAAGTCTCCAGAAAAATTGGAACTGACCGACGCTGACTTAAAAATATTAATCAGCAACTCTATTACTATTCTATTGCAATTCTGTTATTATAAACCATTCCATTAATCAACTTACTATCTAAAAATTCGTCGTCCATAGTTTTAAAATAAATTCCCAGAGCCTAGAAATGGTTTAAAATGTGCTGGTTTAGACCATTTTGATCATGGGGCTACGAGGCCTACGTTAATATACACGTTTTAGAATTATTATTCAAATTTCCCTACTTTCTGAAACTGAATTTGACTGATCGAATAGCCACAGATTTTTCGAATAATCTCAAATTTTGTTCAAATTTTTTGCCAAGCTGATTTGATTTATCTTTGTCCATTATAGCTCCAAAATTTGCGATGATGAGTGTCAAAGTCCTATTATCAAGAGTCCTGCGAAACTTCACCGCTTCAACGAAGAAACCTTTAAACACGTGCGTTTTCCAGTATGGCGTCGTGCTCCACGTGCTCGGCGGACTTCCCGTCACGCTGCACCCAAGACGTTAAATTAAATAGCATATCTTCTTAACCTGTACCCAAAACCCATTTTACATATTTATTACACACCTTGAGGCAATTCACGCAGGCGTTGGCAACCTTGTAAAATTCGCAAAATCCCAAAGCTTACAAATGATTGCAATATTTTCCAAATATTTGGAAAGAAAATTTGCTCACAAATTTTTGTGAAGATACTCCTATCAAGGGCGTCTCTTTACTTTGTAAAATTATTTTGCAAAGTTACCAATGACTATGAATTCCATTTGCAAAAATTATTGTCGAAACGAAATCTATATAAGTTATTCGTACCGATGCAATTTCGACTACGTGAATTTCGGTACACTGTTGAAAATCTGGTAGAGTCACATATGTATTCCGTACTGGGATGGATTTGGTAGTAATGTCCTACCCTATTACACTCTAAGAAACCCGGTAACTAAGTTATTACCAGGCGGAGTATCTATGTGACTCTACCGCATGGTAATTGATTTACTATTGAGTGGTAGACATTTTGTTACCAAACCGGTAATAACCCCGGTCGCGAAATTTGAAAATATTACCAGTTGGTAACAAATGTCTACCACTCAATAATAAATAAATTACCATGCGGTAGAGTCACGTAGATACTCCGCCTGGTAATAACTTAGTTACCGGGTTTATTAGAGTGTAGTAGTAGTTTGTTTCTGAGTGGTAAATTTATCATTACCACGACACAACTAGACGGGTAATGCCCGTTACTACCAATGTCGTAGAGTAATATACGGCACTCCGAGCAGTACTGATTTCATTAATATCCTTTATTCTAAAATTGTAACGAGAACACCTGAGAGACCCACCTAAATAACCTCAAAATTAAAACAAATACGTATTTAATTTTCACCGGCGTTCCAGTTATGCTGAAATAAATGTGATGCATCCTAAATAAATAAAATTTAAACATAGACAAAATTCACGCAGGCCTTGATAACTTTGTAAAATTCATAAAATTGCTAAACTTTTACAAATACTTTGAAGGAAAATTAATGTCCAATTTTTGTAAACTTACTCAGATCAAGGGCGTCTGTTTGTAAAATTATTTTACAAAACGCACGGATTTTACGAAGTTACCAAGGACTGCGTGAACTCCGTGAGGTACATACACCTGGGGTTAAAAATCTGGTGCATTTATACTAGTATTGATTTGATAATAAATTCCTACCCAATTTGTAGTAATTTGTTTCTGAGCGGTAAATTTTTCATTACCATAACATTACTAAACGGTAATGCCCGATTATTACCTGTGTGGGTAGAGTCATATCTGTACTACTCCGGTCAGTAATGATTTAACACTAGTTTTCTAAGAGTATCAGGACTACTTTGGTCCGACCCACCTAAATATCACTTTAAAATTAACAAAAACAGGCATTTATTTGTCATCGGCGTAAAAGATTTCCTGATAAAAATGTAATGTATCCTTACATAGTAAATTAAATGTGACACAATTCACTCAGACCTTGGTAACATTGTATAATCCTTAAACTTACAAAATTTTGTGAAATTTTACGTATATTTCGATAGAAAACTAGCTCCCAAATTTTTGTAAGCTTACTCCGGTCAAAGGCGTCAAGTTTGTTAAATTATGTTACAAAATGTATATTAAAGGTTTTACTAAAAGGAAATGCTTACTTAAAAATATTTCTGAAAAATACACAACGTGGCCAAATAATTGAAAGGAGAGGCTGGAATTTGTACTTATTTCATAAAAACATTTTTATCGCCAAATTTATAATTACATTTCATTTAGCCGGAATGGCAGGAAAATCTGGTAATAGAAAAACTATGTATAATTTCACCATGATTATGCTGCGGCGTCCAAGCCTTGCAGTTTTAAAAACAAAAAATTTTGTAAAATTTTACAAATATTTTTAAGCAAAATTAGCTTTCTAATTTACGTAACTTACTCCAATCAAGGGCGTCTCTCTATTTAGTAAAAGTTTGTAAAATTAGTTTACAAAATTTATTTAAGGTTATTACTAAAAGGAAATGTTTACTGAAAAATATTTCTGAAAAATAAAATGCAGCGAAGTGATTTGGAGGCAAGGCTGGAATTGTTATTTCCTAACACCATTTTCATCCCCAAATTTACTATTTGCTTTAGCCTAGCCAAAAGAAGCGAAACATCTTATAACAGAAAAAACCATGTGCAATTTCATCATGATTATTCTGTGGCGTCGAAGCCTTGCAGTCTTAAAAACGAAAACTTTTCTAAAGTTTGACAAGTATTTCTAAACAAAATTTTTGTAGCCAATCAAGGGCACCAATTACAAAAAGCATCGATTTTACAATTACTAATTAATTATCAATGAAATAACTGCTTGAATTGCCTTCTTGCAAACTTCATTGTACAGGATGTTGCTATATTTTAATGCAAAATAAAATCTCATTAGGTATCAGGTTACAATTAGTTCTTACATATTTTACACTTTTTCTTATCTTCAATCAAACCTTTTTCATGAACCAAAAACAATAATTTTCCAATGTATGCAAATTTCATCTAAATAAGTACGACTTTCAATCTATGTAATTGCCTTTATTACTACACGCATTCATCATGTGCCAAAATGCATGCAAAAAATCCTGGACTGCACTCTCAGAAAACTGGTATTAAATCATTCCTGGCCGGAGTACATATATGACTCTACTGGTACATAATAACGTGCATTACCGTTTACTAATATTGTAGTAATAATGAAAGATTTCCCACTCAGAAACAAACTACTACCAATCCGGCATGAAGTTATTATAAAATTAATGGATTATATGTGTAAACTATTAGAAAACTGGTGTTAAATCATTACTGACCGAAGTACATACTCTATCGGCACTGGTAATAGCGGCATTACCGTTTGGTAATGTTGTGGTACACTCTTAGCAACTTGGTAAAGAATTCCTAATAAGCGTCTTTACCGAGCTCTTGGTAATTACGCGTCCTACATAAATCATACGGGATTATTACCGTATCAATACCAAACGGGTAACTAGCCTTCCACCGGAATATTTTAAGCTATCTTTATAATTTTGGTAATAAATTTCTACCAGCCGGTAATTATATCCTTCAAATTTAGAAAACACTCTTTACCATAATTTTAATCAAAAGTGCACTACAAGTTGTGGTGCTGATGAGATCTACATTTTGGTGTAGTTTATTACCATAGAGGTAAGAATTTTAATACATTTTGTATGAATTGTGAGACGCTACACAGCGGCGCTGTTTTCAGTTTTAGTTTCCGCTCAGCTCAACTCAAGTCAACATGGCGAAATAATCTGCGTGTCCAATTCTGCATGTGGGAAAAACTGATAAAAACTGGAAATTAAACAGGATTTTTGGAAATAGGTAAGTATAAAATTATCATATGTAGGTGCCTTATCAAGATGATGATCGAGCACCATCTTAATATAAACGAGCAAATAAGAACCTTATGTTTATTTTTTCAGTCAAACGAAAAAATCAGTTGGAAATCGGAGCAGAGATTTTTCTGCAAGACGACCAGGGGGCGAAGATCGACGACGAAGTATTCCCTCTCCTTGCTGAAAACCTTATCACCCAAAATATTGAATTCTTTGTCAAGGACGAAATACAAACCGAAGTAGAATTGGAACCGGCCTCGCCAGTTTCATTAATAATTTACGGTCAGTAATTTATTAATCTCAAATTAAGTGAATTAAGTAAATTAAATATTCTAGTCTGCAATATATCATATATTTCTGTAGTTGCACGTCTTGATGAGTCGCCGATGTCCAGTAATGGTTTCCGAAGAACCAAAATTTCCAATGAAGTCGATATTTTCTCTCGGGTTAAAATCAGTTAATGATATTCTTAGATATCCTAAAATAATCATATACAATTAATTTTAATTTTTGAAGATTGTAAACGCTGCAACGACTGAGAGCGCCGAAATTTCCCATTTAGTAGCAGAGTGCAATGAGAAAAACTGCATCGATAAACCGTCGTCGACAACTTTAGTTAATGCATTTGTTGCATATTTATGTAATAGAGGTTAGAGTTTGAGTCGCTAAAGCATTCTTAATATTTAATAATATATTTAATTTGACCAATTAAATTTCAGAGTTTCTCCTACAACCTCCGACTAGAAACACTTAGCAGCTGCAATAATTAAGCTACTGCCTTCATTGAGATGTTCAAGTCAGGGGAGGGTCTGGTGAGTGAAAATTTCCTGAATTATTAGCTCACCCTGCGAAGCATGAGAGCTATTGAATTCCTCTTGTCCGTCCGTCCGTCTGTCTGTGTGTTCACGAGTTTTTTGCATCAATTGATGCTAATTAATAATCCCCTTGTCCATTATAGAATAAATTAGGCGCACCATTGGTATCGAACAATCCGTGGCGCAAATGGTGCGAATCAATTGTGCAAATGGATCGAGAAAGCACTACAATTTTGGAATAAGTAGCACCGTTCGTATTGAACAGTTGGATATCCAAGCTGATGCGAAACAATTGGATGAACATCAATTGATACTCGCTAGAATGGATCAGGTCCATTTTTTCATAAATTAATAGCACCGTTGGTATCTAACAATCGGAAACACCAAATGATGCGAAAGAATTGGGGGCTTTGATGCATAACGCACCAATAGTGCATACTACTCGGCGGATTTTATTTGACAATTCTGACATAAATTTTTCAAAATTATCGTTGTTCGTTGGTAGGTAATTCTGCACCAGTGATGCACAATTTTTGGACTTTGCTCGATGCATAATAATTATTGATCTATTTTGTTTAATTTCTCTGCACGATTGGTGCAATATTGCATAAACATTATTGATCTACTTTGTTGCATTTTTTTGCACCATTGGTGCATAATTGCCAAAAAATTATGTATCTATTTTGTTGCATTTTTCTGCACCTTTGGGGCAAGTTATAACCAAATCATTATTACAGGGTGAGCTACTTCTAACGTTACTACGGTTTATTTAAATGTGCTCTTGTATTAAGAATTTCTAAAAATTGTGAATTTTTAATCTACAGGACATATTATTTGATGACGTCAACCGGTGTGGACTCATCCAAAATCGACGATTTATCGGAATTTGAAGGGGGAATAGAAGAATAAATGTGTAAATATGTATATGTATGTGTGTAACTCAATAGTTTTGCATTATACTTAAATTTTATAATTATGTAAGTACGTTTCAAAATGATTTTACAACAAATATAATTGATTAAAAGATTATTGTAAAGAAAAGCAAAAAATCTATTCTTTTCGGTGGAAATCTGCACAAAATGTGGTAATAATGGGGTACACGTAATAAGAAGCATTATTACCGGCATGAATAGCACACCGTGTACAAAGTGGTATGGATTATTACCGGGCGGTAGACATTTTACTACATGTTGTAGTACATCTGTCATACATCACCGTATTAATTTTATCCCGAAAAGTGCTCTTTATTACCACTTCGGGTTCAATCAATTTCTTTACCAGCTGGTGGTTATTATTACCGTTTCTGCAGAGTCATATACGTGTGCATTTTGGTAATGATTTGGTAATGATTTTATTTAGAGTGTAGTATAAAATTTATCACTCAGAAACAAACCATTACCAATCCAGTAGGAAGTTATTACCAAGTCAATACCAGGACGGAGCATATATCTGACTCGACCAGATTTTTAACAGTGTGTTTAAACAACAGATATGCATGTATATTATGTTTCGTTTGCTCTGCATACCAAGCACATAGCAACAAACACAGGCTATGCATAATACGGACAAATCACGCAATCCCCTCACCCAGTAACATGCATACCTACAAAGCCATGGTATTGATAACCAAGTGTGTGTATTTTTTGTCCAAAAATAACCAAGGTTAAATTGACGTGTTTATATATTTCGCACAGTATACGCTGCATCCTCCAGCGTAACGGATTAATTCACATTTATTTATAAACAAACTATAAAATCTTTCATCTCTTGACTAACAACAACAGTTCATAAAGTTGGGCATTGTTGTGCATCGGTTTAAATATTTAAACACTTTACATCTACTTCCATAAAGCGTTAGTGTTAAGTTCTGCCTGGGTCCCTGTGGCTCTCAATGCAAATTGCCCCGTAGAGGAGACAAAGAAGGAAGCAGGCAACGGTTGCATGCATGAATTTTCTGCATGAGTCTCACTTCGCCTGCACGTGACTTTCACGTACGCTTGCCATCAATCTCAAATTAAATGTCTTTGTATATTTGCAGTGTGCAAGTAAATTGAGTGAGTGAGCAGTACATACATCACTCATCAATAGTGGTTATCATGATAAGTGATCTTGATAAACACTATTAGTTAATTATTTTAGTTTGAGAAACTCCACCCACAGCGAGTAGCATATCAATTCGAATGTATTTTTTACGCTGAATCCAACGCCGTCAATGGTTTTGACCTGCGAGGCCCCCGTGACCTTGCCGTGACCGTGGGGGCCAAATATGGCTTATTCGTGATGTCGCACATCAATTCGAATGTATTTTTGAGGCTGAATCCGAATCCGTCAATAGCTTGGCGTTAATTGTAGAAGTTAACGGGGTTTATGGAACTTAACGGGAGCGTGAAGCGTGGGAATTTAAATAGTTAGCTATGCAGTTACTCCCACGCGACGGGAATTTAAGTAATTAGCTATTCAGCTACTCCCACAGTGGGAAATCAAATTGTACTGTGACCAGAGTAATTGAAATGCAGTATAACTTGGGCAAACCCTCACTCTGATGTATGTATGTGGTATGACAAAGTCTCCACTGGGAATTATTTCTGGGAACTGGGAATAAGTATAGTATGACGGATTTTTCGCTTTGGGCACACCCCCCCTAGAACCCGGCCTTGGCCGGGCTATACGCTAGTAAATAAATAAAAAAAACTAGCTAAAAGTGTATATTTTAACTTATATATAAATTTCCTTGTAAAAATATCACTGTTCATTTTTCTTGCTGGATTTTGTTAAAATTAAGAAATATTTCATCACTTCACTGATAGATAACACATAAATAAATAATTAAAAGTTTAATTAAAATATTTGCTTGCAAAAATATTTCTTTGCAAAATACTTTAATAACTAATTGCAAAAAATCGTTTCTTGTTTTACTTTAAATACATACATCACTAAAACCGTACTATTATTCCTTGGAAAAAAATTTCCTCGCAAAAATCCTATCTCATTTTTCTTTGCAAGCTTATCTGTATAAAAAACTAAAAGTGTGATATCTTTCCTTGCAAAAATATCTCTTCGCAAAAACTAATATAAATATACATATTTCCTTGCAAAAATGGACACCCTGTTCCTCATCCTAGCCGGGCTTGTGACCCTTCTCGTCTTCCTTTGGAAATGGCACTACCGCAAGAATAAGGTCTACTTTGAGTCTAAAGGGATTCCCTACCGGGGAAATGCTTTCCTCCGCATCGCCCTTAATTCCCTCAAGGGACTCGGCGTCATAGACGACATCCTCGCCTCGTATAAACAAAATAAAGCGGAAAATACCATGGTCACTGTAACCAACGATTTTGGCGTCATCACGATCAGAATCCAAGATCCAGACTTGCTCAAAGCCGTCCTGGTCAAGGATTTCGACCATTTCGCGGATCGCAGGGTATGCAAATTATGCATGTGTAACCTCTTAACCTCTTTCGTACTACTAATTTATTTAATAAAATTTCTCTTCAGTACGATCTTAATTTCATAATTACACATGATAGCATCCAATTAAAATTTACAACCAGTTTCCATTTTTTTTTAGTTTTTTGACGCAAAACATGAAAAACCCAGTTTTTAACATTGGTCGGTATAGGGAAAATTCCATTTTTGAGGAGAAAAATATCGAAAAAATACACTTTTCACCATCGAGTTTTCCACAAAATACAGAAGAAATACCAATATTCTTTTTTTAAAGAAATTGTGAAATCAAGGTAGTTTTAATTTATGCAGTACACAAATGTATACTTCGTCGTTAAGTGGTTAAGACAATCATGTCGTCCGATAAGTGTAATACAAATTTAATTTTGTGTCTCTTTTTAAAAAGAATTTCACCATTCCCAAGAATGATTACCTCTACAAGAAAATGATATTCTCTTTAAAAGGCGAGCCGTGGAAAGCACTACGAACAAAATTGAGCCCGACCTTTACCACGGGCAAAATTAAACGGCTCTTTTCCCTGTTTGACCAAAGTGGGGAAAAATTGGTGAAATATATTGAGCAAGAAATTGGTGATGGTGGGGAATTTGACATAATCGAGACCTACTCTAAATTCGCGATGGACATTATCGCCTCCTCCGTTTGTGGTATCGACTCACACGCCTTTGACCAAAAGGAACCCTCCTTCTTTGAAGTGATGGGACGGAAAATGCAGCTAACTTTCGGTGGGGCTACGCTTATCAAAATCCTCATCATCTCGGTGTCCTCCTCGATAGCGGACTTTTTTGGATTCTCGCTTTTCGCGAAAGACGTAAGTTACAGAATGTTTTAATGAAAAATAAGGAGTTCGTTTTTGAAAATACACAATTTTTTATGTTGAGGGTTTTCACGTCAGCCTTCGTAACTGTGGAGTCGTAAAAGAATATTTAGCAAATTTACGTCGTTTATGAGGGGTTGACGTGAAAGACCCGTCGCAAAAAATATTTCGTAAAAATTGTTTTAAATTTTTCTTGGCTTAATATCATCGGTAAAGGTATTATTCGAAATATAAGCAGGTTTTTTTAACGAAATTTTCTTACGAACGAAAAAGATGCATCAACCTTGATTGTATTTACGAAGCTTTGCAAGCATGGAATTTTCATAAAGAATTTAGATGAAAAATATTGACGCATTTCACAACTCCCCGACTTTGGTCAAAAGTTCGTAAGTTTTGTAGATTTTGAATTCTGAGTGGTAAATTTTTCATTACCAGGACATTAGTAAACAGTAATATGTCCGGTTATTACCATCACGGTAGTCATCTCAAATGTGTACCCCCGATCAGTAATGATTTAACACCATGTAATAAAAATGTACGGAGAACGATTGCGCGACCCACCTACATTACCTCAAAATTAAAACAAATAAGTATTTATTTTTCACCGGCGTACAAGTTATAGAAAAAAATTTAAATTTAATCCAATTTTGAAATGGGATCCTAAAGGTTAATAAATAAAATGTTAAAATGTATGTAACCATTAACACATTTCACGCAGGCCTTGGTAAAATCCGTAAATTCAGTAAACTTACAAACTTTTGCAAAATTTTACACTTATTTCTAAGGAAAACTATTTCCCAGATTTTTGTAAACTTACTCTGATAAAGGGCTTCGCTTCATTTTGGAAAAGTTTGTAAAATTATTTTACAAAATGTATGCATTTTACGAATTACTAAGGCCTGCGTGAATCGGTAAAGTAAACATTCAGGTTCAAGATTTTTTCTCCGTCGCGATCAAATTCACGATTGCCAAGCAATTACACACGAAGTCCTCTGTAACTTCGTAAACTCTGTAAAATCCTTAAATTTTCAAAACCTTACAAGATGTTGCAATTATTTCTGAGGAAAATTAGCCTACCAATTATTGTAGCCTTGCTCAGCCTCAGATCAAGGGTGTCTCTTTATTTTGTAAAAAGGTTCGTAAAATTATTTTACAAAACGCACGAAGTTAAGCAAGAAATTAAATTATGACGATTATAAAAATTAATTTTGCAGGTCCCAGATTTTTTCTCTGTCGCGATCAAAGCCTCGATTCACGATCGCCAGACAAAAAACGAGAAGCGGAACGACTTCATCCAATTGATGCTCGAGGCGCGGGAGGACAAGTTGAAAACTGAGGACCACGAATTGGACCGCTTTGAAAGGGACGCCATCATAAAAACTGGAACGACGATGGACAAAGTACCGCGATGAACGACGATGGACCGCGGAACTTCTCGACGACGAAGGAATCGTGGCGAATGCCGTGTTGTTCATATTCGGCGGATATGACACGACATCATCGCTCCTCATTTTCACGGCGTACTCGCTCGCACTCCATCCCAATATTCAGGACAAGTTGAGGACGGAGATTGGTCAAGTTCTGGAAGAAAATGGGGGCGAACTCAGCTATGACGCGTTAAATAAGATGACTTATCTTGACATGGTTATCAGTGGTACGTAAGACTTGTGAATATATTGGTTAGGGGTATTCATTTGTATAAATTTTTGTAAAAAATACAAATTTTTTAACGGCCCAGAAAAATATGTCAGTATTTTGTGCAATTTTTGAAAAAGTTAGTGAATACCCATATTAACGGAGGACTCTATGACGATGAGTCATCGCCAAAATCGAAAAATCATCACATTTGTAATCATTTCTCCGTTCTGGGAATTTATTTTATAATTCTGGACGACAAATTTGTTCTCTATTGATTTGATTAATGTAATAGCGTTGAGTTTTTTTGACGCAGTTTCAATGCGTTCCATTTTTTGTAAGCTTCTTAAACTTGAGCTCGTTTCGAAAAAATTCAAAGTCTGGCATCTATATTTTTAAAAATTGGGAATAACCTGCTCTACGAATATGTCGCCCAGAATCTTAAAATAAATTCCCAGAGCGGATAAATGATTAAAAATGTGCTTATTTTAACGGTTTTGGCGAAGAGTCCTACGTCTAAATCCGACTAATAATAATTACCGCCCTCTATATTTTACAATAGAAACGCTGCGCTACTACCCACCCTTATTTGCGACGGATCGCGGTTGTACGAAGGACTATAAAATTCCGGGGACCGAATTTGTCATGAAGAAAGGCCAAGTTCTCCTTATCCCGACGTACGGACTGCATCACGACGCCGACTATTTCCCAGAACCTGAAAAGTTCAACCCGGAACGATTCTCGCCGGAAAACAAGGCAAAAATCAATCATTACGCGTACCTTCCGTTTGGCGCGGGCCCTAGAAATTGCATCGGTATGAATAACTTAGATTTCGATTTGCCAATAATTTTGCAAATTAATTTGGCAACTCACATAGTGCTTGGTAATTTTGTAAAATCCTTGTAAAATAGTTTACAACCTTTTACCAAATAAAGAGACGCCCCAAATCGGATCAAGTTTACCAAAATTTGGGAGCTAATTTTCCATCGAAATATTTGTAAATTTTTTAAAACTTTGTAAGTTTACGGAACTTACGGAGTTTACGATATGGCCAAGCACTGCGTGAATTGCCTCATTGTTTCTTTATGGGATAAAATTATTTCATCACCATTTGCCAATAATTTAGAAATTTGTATCGTTTGACAGACTTTAAAAAAAATAGTGATACACATTTCATTTCGGCATTTTCATAATTGTCAAGTCAAAGGCCGTTTTTGAAATAAATTAAAAATGTAAATATCCACAACGGCAAATGAAAGATGTAGATCACGCCGTATGAATGTGACATGTCCAATATTTGGAAAACTTTGGAAAATTTTGCAGAATTTACGGATTTTATTTTATTTTTGGAGTCATGAATTGTTGTACCACGATAGTACGACATGTTGCCCATGCCAAATTATAAGGTGGCCCTCCTACGTGACAAATTCCGCAAAAATTACAAAGAGCTGGTTCTACATATATTGAAACATATATACTTGCACCTCTGGTCGTACTATTGTTTAGTATGAATTTATGAAGAGAATGACACCAAGATATCCAATTTTAATAGTCTGTAACCCATAAATTTGCAATGTTTGTCAAAAAAAGATTTACACGAAGGCTTATGCACTGTGAGGGTGGACGTAGTTCAAACACAGCGGATAGAGATCGGTGAGGCTGTGTCAGATTCCCCCTTAACACTAAAAATAACATTGTTATTCCCAGAAAACCAAAAAACCTGTAGTGACCAGTTGACAAGTTGTATTACACGTAATTTTACAGTGGCGTTAAACCCATGCAATTTCTGTATAACATAATTCACAGCAGAAAATTCGGTACCAAAATCTTCACCTGCCCGAAAATAGCTTGCTTTAATTTTGTTTATGGACATATTCGATAGCATTTTTTTGCTAATAAAGAAAGTTTTACATGTGATACAACTTGCTTAATATTTATCCATCATGTGTACAAACGGTGCAAATCCAAGCATGTGCATATTTATGCTCACTTAACAAGCAAAATCTATGCAAAACATTGAGTATTTTTTTTGCACAGAGTATCTAATAACCATTTAATAACGAAGGTCATATGCTTTTTGTCATATAAAATGATTTACAAATTTTCATGACTCTCTCCTCTGCAAAAAAAATGAGTCAACCTACACATGTGTTACTCGGACGCACCACAACAACCTCCTTTCGTCACTTCAAGTTCAAATCCATTGAGTTAAGCTACATATATTCATCATTCGCCAAAATGCATGCAAAAAAGCATGCTGGACTGCTTATAGCTCTGCATACAAAACACATAGCAACAAACACATTGCAGGCTTAATACTGTAGTTCGACAGTAAATACATGACACATAATTACGTAATTTCCTCACTCATCCTCAGTAACATACATAAATATCAGTACAAACATTGTACGTTATATTAAAGCACAGTATTGATCATGATAACGATGTGTTTGTATTTTTTGTCCAGAAAATAACCAAGCTTAAACTGACGTGGTTATACATATATTTGGCATAATATTCGTTGCAATCTCCAACTCCAGTGGAACGGATGATTGATTCACCTTTATTTATAAAGTGACCACTAAAACTTAAAAATATTTCATCAATTGACCAACAACAAAAATTAAGTTTAATTTAAGTTGAGAATTTTTTTGTCTGTTTTAGCATTGTATAAAGTGTACTTTAACCAGTATATTTCCTTGCAAAAATCGTGCCTCAGTTTACTTTTCACACAGAAATAAATAAAAGTGTGATATATATTACATTGCAAAAATATTTCCTCGCAAATAAATTTCCTCGCAAAAAGCGTGTCTCATTTTACATTATATTACACAAATAACTAAAAGTGTACCACCACATATATTTCCTTGAAAAAAAATTTATTTGCAAAAATCGTACCTCGTTTTACTTTACATACCTGTACACATAAAAGAGTGCTAAATTTCCTTGCAAAAATACAAATATCCCCTCGCAAAAATAATGGGCATCCTCCTCATCTTGGCCGGACTTGTGGTTCTTCTCGTCCTCCTTTGGCAATGGCACTATCACAAGAATAAGGTCTACTTTGAGTCTAAGCGGATTCCCTACCGGGGAAACGGTATCTTCCGCGTGGTCCTTAATTCCTTCAAGGGGCTCAGCATCCTAGACGACGTCATCTCCTCGTATAAAAGAGATAAGGCGGAAAATGCCTTGGTCACGGGAAACAATGATTTTGGCGTGATCACGCTCGGAATCCAGGACCCTGACTTGCTCAAAGCCATCCTCGTCAAGGATTTCGACCATTTCGCGGATCGCAGGGTATGCAAATTATAAATATTGAATTGCAGGAATTATTTATAAATAAATACATTTTCGGGAATTTTTTTTTCAAAATTAATTTTTAATTTCGCCCCTCTAAAAAAATTGTAGTGTAATATTTTCAACACGAATTTCTCAAAATATTAAAATACTGACAAAATTTCGGACTTATGCATCCGGAAAATGCATATACTTTTTTAAATGCCAAAATTTAGTAATATTAAATTGTAGATTAAATATTTATATTTTCAAAAATTATTGAAATATTCAAAAACATTTAAGAATAATTGGAAATTGTATACGAACCCATAAAATTTGAGGATATCAAATGAAAAAAAAATATCCACCAATGATCATCATAATCTAGATATTTATTTATTCAAAAATGTATTCAAATTTACGACAAAATATTTACGAAATATGCACAAAAATCATAAAGATCCCAAAATGTGTATATCTGGATATAATTCTCTGGATTTTTTATGGTCCAATTCTTTTTACCAAACAAATCTAGTCTCACAATGTTGAAATATTTACAAAATATATCTATTTTGGAAAATATCCAAAGGTTTACATATTTTTAAAATAATACCGGAAATATTTATAACTGATTTGTCCGAAAACCTAGAAATATGTATAAAAAACAACAAAAAAAACATATAAACAAATATGAAAAATATTTTGAAATTTTTGTGATCCATGCGAGTTAGGGAACACACCCACAAAATTTAACCATCGGCCGTCATGATATGAAAAAGTTGAAAATAAATACGTAAAGCCGTCCGCTGAATATAAAGAAACAGTAAAATTCAAAGCACTTCAGAAAAGTTTCTCAAAGGTTCACGCCAATTGTGAAAATTAGAAGAAAATAATACTTCAGAATTAGTATAGATTTTATGTAGAATCCCCGGTCCTCTATAAATCTTATTACATCTTATTGCATACGGTTTAGAAATATCCTGCTCAAATTTATTTTTAATTTATATTTTTGATCATAATCAGCCAATTATTCTATAAATTTTACATAGGGTTTTCACGACATTCGGAAAAAAATATCCGTAAATTTTACGTCATTTACACATCGTTGACGTATTACGTCCTACATAAGAGTCCTTTAAAAGGACTCTTAAAAATTGATGATGTTCGAAGTATCATGATTTTTTTAAATTTTTACGAACGAAAAAATTGCCTTAACCTTGCGTATATTTACGAAGCTTTGTAAGCATGGAAGATTAGTGGATGTCGCAAATTTACGACAGTTACGAAGGTGACGTGAAAACCCTCAATATAAAATAAATACATATCCGCGCCCTGATAATCATAAATAACTGTTAAATATTTATTTTTATGTCCCTTTAAAGATGTTCAGCGCCCCCAAGAATGACTACCTTTTCAAGAAAATGCTATTCTTTCAAAAAGGCGAACAATGGAAAGCGTTACGATCAAAATTAAGCCCGACCTTCACCACGGGCAAAATCAAACGGCTCTTTTCCCTGTTTGACCAAAGCGGGAAAAAATTGGTGAAATACGTCGAGCAAGAAATTGGCGGGAACGGGGATGGCGGGGAATTTGACATAATTGAGGCCTACTCCAAATTCACGATGGACATTATCGCCTCCTCCGTTTGTGGTATCGACTCGCACGCCTTTGATCAAAAGGAACCCTCCTTCTTTGAAAAGATGGGACAGAAAATGCAGCTAAGTTTCGATGGATTTACATTGCTCAAAATTATCGTAATCTCGCTATCTACCACGATAGGAGACTTTTTTGGCTTTTCGTTCTTCGCGAGAGACGTGAGTTATACAAATTTTGTATACTGAAAATCTAAAATTTTGATTTTACATTAAATGTCACGCTACAATGGAAAATTTTTCAATTGGAAAGGCTCCTAAATATCTATTACAAGATTTGGGCTTGAAATTTGTATTAATCATTATAAAACTGATGGAACACTTATGACAAAATTTTTTGAAATGTTGAATTTCAGGGGCAAAATTGGGGGGTAACAGTAAAATTTCAGGGGGTAACTAATGGAAATTTAGGAATTTTTCTCATTGAAACAATTTCCATTGTAGCGTGACACTTGAATAAACCACCCTGTACATTTAAATCGATATTATACCTCAAAACGGTATTAAATGATAAATTAAATTTAGAAAATTTATCGAATTTTCAAAAATTAAGAAGTATTATGTTACATACCATTTACAGAGAAAATATAAATTGGTATGTATGGAAAGACTTAAAATTAGTAAAATTTTAAAATTCATGAATTCTGTAAACTTGCAAAGATTTAGAAATATTTCGAAGGAAAAATGTCCCGTTTTTTTAACTTATTTTTTTAAATTTGAGGAAATTATTTTACCAAAACGCACGAATTTTACAAAGTTATTGAGAACTGCGTGAATTGTCTAACCATTTTGTTGAGTTACAAATATCGGCGTGAATCGTCTCAGAGATCCGACGAAATTATCTCAATTGAATAAAATCAGTTTCACCTCATTACTAAAAAATTTCATGACTTTTTACAAAAATGAAATTTGAGTAATTTTTACGCCAAATAAGAAATTGTATGAAACATGAATTGTAAAAATTGGAAAATAGATCGAGATCCAGATTTCTAAATTTTTTGTAATGCTTTTACAAATTATTTTGGAAAATTTACACAGTCAACAAAAATCAGAGTGAATCGACTTACTAAAATATAGAGAGGCAATTCACTGGTAACATTGTAAAATCCGTAAATTCTGTAAACTTACAAACTGAAATGACACCCTTGATCTGAGTAAGTTTACGAAAATTTGTAAGCTAATTAATTTTCCTCAGAAATATTTGTAAAACTAATCAAAAATTATTTTACAAAATCTAAAGATTTTTAAAGTTACCAATGACCAGGTTAATTGCCTCTGAACCTATTCACACTTGGTTATGTAACATTTGTGATTCCGAAGCAAATACAGTTGCATAAAAATCTTGAAAAGCTCAAAATGTAAATTCCTCAAAATCCTAACTTACAAAATTTTACAAATATTTCGAAGAAAAACTAGCTTACCATTCTTGGTAAACTTACTCAGATCAAGGACGTCTAGGATTATGTATTTTGTAAAAGTTTGTAAAATCACTCTGCAAAACTTACGGATTTTACAAGTTACTACGGCCTGAATTGCCTTACATAAAATTGTGACTATTTTTAATTAAACTAAATTTTGCAGGTCCAAGATTTTTTCTCCGTCGCGATCAAATCCTCGATTCACGATCGCCAAGTCAAAAACGAGAAGCGGAACGACTTCATTCAATTGATGCTCGAGGCGCGGGAGGACAAGTTGAAAATCGAGGACCACGAATTGGACCGCTTTGAGCGGGACGCCATCATCAAAACCGAGACGACGACGGACAAAGCGTCCACGGCGGAACTTCTGGATGACGACGGGATCGTGGCGAATGCCGTGTTGTTCATGCTGGCCGGATACGACACGACCCAGTCGCTCCTCATTTTCGTAGCGTACGCGCTCGCACTCTATCCAGACATTCAGGACAAATTGAGAACGGAAATTGACCAAGTTCTGGAAGAAAATGGGGGCGAATTTAGTTATGATTCGTTAAATAAGATGACTTATCTCGACATGGTTATCAATGGTATGCAAGACCGTTTGAAACTTTGCACATTTTTTCGAGAATTAAAAGCAAGAGAGACATGTACCCGTTTTTGAACAATTTTTTTTGCGAACTCACTTTTAATCGTTTCTCCGGTCGGGAATTTTTTTTAAATTCTGGACGACAAATTTGTAGTTAGTGGGTTGATTTATGGAATGACAATGAGTTTTTTAACCAGTTTTGATTCATTCCAATTTTTCTGATGGCTTCTTAAACTTGAAAAATCTTCTTCTTCAAAATTGTCAAAATCTGGAGTGTATATTTTTTTAATTGCAAAAGATCTTCTCTACAAATTTGTCGTCCAGAATTTTAAGCTGAATTCCCAGAGCATAAAAATGATTAAAAGTGTTTCGATTTTCACGAGTTTGGCGACATGTCGTTGAGTCCTGTATCGAAATACGAGTTATATGTACTCAATAAACGCCTTCTTTTGTATTTTACATAGAAACGCTGCGCTTCTACCCGCCCGCGACTGTGACGGATCGTGGGTGCACGAAGGACTACAAAATTCCGGGGACCGAGTTTATCCTAAAGAAAGGGCAAGGTCTTATCATTCCGATTTACGGACTGCATCACGACGCCGACTATTTCCCAGAACCTGAAAAATTCGATCCTGAACGATTCTCGGCAGAAAATAAAGCAAAAATCAATCAATATGCATATCTTCCGTTTGGTGGGGGTCCCAGAAATTGCATCGGTATGAATAACTTACAGATTTCGATTGGCCAATTCACGCTGTCATTGGTAGCTTTATAAAATCCGTGTGTTTTGCAAAACAATTTTACAAACTTTTACAACATAAAGAGACGCCCTTGACTGAGCAAGTTTAACAAAATTTGGGAGATAATTTTCCTTAGAAATTTTTACATAATTTTGTAAAAGTTTGTTAGCTTACAGAATTCACAGAGCCATTATGTTTAAACAAGTCTTTTAATCAAAATGAAAATTTTGCAAAATTTCACGCCATCGACAAATCTTTTTTTTTGTAACTTTTGGAAGAATTTTTGAAATAATATTTTAATTAGGAAAATTATATTATACAAATTAAAAGAAAGTAATGCTAATAATAGAATTTCACAATCAAGTTAAAGCTAAGGTAATTAGCTTTAACTTGATTGTGAAATTCTATGTACGTATGTTTATTAACTTTGGAAGATTACAAAATTTCCGGATTTTACAAAGTTACCAAAGTTACGTGAAATGTCTCAATATTTCTTAATATTTTCAGGGATGCGGTTTGCCCTGGCCGAGGTGAAAGTCGCGATTTCCCATTTGGTCCACAACTTTAGGATCGAACCATCCAAGAAAACACTCATTCCGATGAAATTTTCGAAATCAAATTCTCTCAAACCACAAGGCGGCATGTTTCTTGGTCTCCACAAAATCCAGCATTAACCAATTTACACAAATGCAATTTTATGTTATTAAGATAATCTCCATTCTACATGTGTAAATAAATTTACGGCTTCTTTCATTTATCCTTACATAAGAATACCTGTTCACTTCATTCATTTGACTGAATGATAGTGAATGAAAATGACTGAATAAGGATTCCGTCATTTCAAATAATTTATTTTGAATGAAACCTATGCTTCATACACGTGGCGAAGTAAGAAATAAAGTCAGATGAAATGAAGTGAAATGAGTTTGAACGAAAATGACTGAATGTGAATTAAAATCTTCATTCAGAAAGAAGACGACTAACTTTTAAATGAAAACTAAATTTTTGAACTGGTTTGAATGAAGAGAAATTTTAGACCCAAAAATTCTTCTTCAAAACCCGCATACAATGGCATCTTAATTGAAGAAATTCGCACCCGCATACCTGCAGTTTCAAGTGTTAATAAAACATTTCGTAAACTTTACGAATGACGTTGAGCCCATGCATTTAGTCGTAAGAATTGACTCATGGAGAGTTTTGTAACTGTAACGTTAGGGTAGACCAGTAAAATTCATGGTTCAAGAAATTATTATTCAGCAGTCAGCTCCAGTGTGTACTAATATTTTGATTTTGTAAAAAAATTAGGCAATTTACTAAGATATTTGTAACGGAGTACATTATATATAACCTTAGCAAAAATAAATTGCAAGCTTTTACAAGATCAATACCCCTCCCCCTCTCCGCTCTCTTGCGTGACATATTTTCTGGACGGTCCCGAAATATTATTCAATATATCACAAATTATGATGCATCATGCTTATGGTAGGTAATCGGATCATATCAATGGATTATCCGACCGTTTACGATAAAATGGATCCGATCCGACGGATTGGATATTTTCGGATCAGATTTGCCAAATCTAATCCTAATTACAATTTGCAATGATGCCATCAAAATTTGTGCAATCTAGGTGATGATAGCAATGCAGAGCAGAGGACATAAAAAGACTCATATTTCACAATATTTTCAATATCTCTAGATTTTTAACTATATAAATATTTCATAGGCTATAATTTGAAAATATACAAAATTTACAAAATTAAAAAGATTTACATACAACTCAATCTTTTATCAAGCTATTTTTACAAAACAAAATAATATTTAGTACAGACCACAAAGACGACCGTCACAAATCTTTTAAGTAAGTTAAGTTAGCGTTACAGGTAAAAAATTCTGTATTCGGTGTAAAAGTACGCCACGTTTGTAAAATCTTAATTTTGTCTCGTAATTTACATGTCATATTTTTGGCTCACCTTGAAAACCAATTAACCTCATTCTACGTAACACGGTGAAATTAATGAAATCGGTGAGAAAATCGTTGAGAAAATTTATGCGAATGTTTATAATGCATGAAAATGTCCCTGTAAAATTATTTTGCAAGCAAATTGAACCATTTCCCACCCTTCGTAAATTCTGTAAAGTGTGGACCGTTTCATATTTTCTGAAAGTTGCAGAGTTTACAAGTATACATATATTTAATTTCAAATGTTTGTAATGGGTCGTTAATTAAAATGTTTATGCTGAGTTTTTCGAAAATTAAAAATTAAAAAAACACGAATTTTTATTATCCCCCAATAAAAAATAAAACTGATGTATTTTATTAAAATACTTTCAAATCATTTATTTAAATTTTCCCGTATATTTTTAAAATTCCCTCCACCTAACTAACTCCTCGGTGGGCTCGGATCCTCCTTATTTTTGGCTTCAGCCTTACCCCCGGAAGGATTAAAGGATCTCAAAAACCCCAAACTTCCACTCGCCGGGGCCGGAACGGAGATAGATTTCTCTCCCTGATGCGGAAGTACGACATGGTCTGGATCATCACTTCCGGTAGATGGCGCTTCACCCTCTCCTTCCTCCTTAGTTTTTCCTGCGCCTGGCCAAAAAGCTTTTGGTTTTCGCTGCCCGCCCTTTTCCGCTAGTTTTTCTGGCTCCTCCTCCACCTTCTCTTTTGGCTCCTCCTCTTGTTCCTGTTGGCCAACTAGAGAAGCCCAAAAGTCCCGGGAACTTCGTCCCTCAGATGGCGCTGGGGTTGTGGTCGTCGTGGTAGAGGATGGTCCACCTTTATCAACCGGGAAAGGGAAATTTAATAACAATGTGGCCACTCGGGCAGACTTTAGTCTCCTTGTTATGCATCGCTATTTAAAGGCTGTCTACAATTGGATTTAGTTCATCATGCTTGATGGTCGTTTTTATCACAAAATTCGACATTCTCAACTACTATTCATCGGAAAAAAATGTGGCCTTTGCCAAGACAGTTTTCTCTAAAAGGTCACCTAGCAGCTATACCAATTTTAAGGAATATCTAAGCAACTTTTAAATCTTAACACTGAAATAAATTTCTGTAATTGATAAAATAGTAAAAATAGACTAACTTCGCCAGGTAACCTTCTAGAATTTCTAGGGTCACATTTTTTAAACAGCCTTAAAAAATAGCGATGCATAAAAGTAAGACTAAATCCTGCCTTCCGTTTTCTAAATATCACAGTATTCTCTGATACCTTCGGCCCCTTCCGGTTTTAGCAGGCTGGACGCGGGAACTAGGATAAATTCAGGTTTGACTTCTTCCACTGGTGGCGCCTCGGTCGTTCCGTTGGCGAAATTTGTCCCATTCTTGATCGGCTCGACGAGCACGATGATTTCTTTCTTTGCCCCGCCGTTCTCTTCGTCCGCGTCGGAATCCGCGGCTTCCGTCTCATTGGCGGGAGGGGGTGGTTGGACGAAGACGATTTCGAGGGGGTAGGTCTCCATGATGGTGATTTTTCCGAGGAGGGTCCCATTATTGGAGACGAGCTCGTTTTCCCCGTCGGTGGCGGGCTGCACGTCGTGCGTGCATTTTATGGTGAAGGCTCCATCAGGTCCGCCCTCGCGGCCGTTGGAGCAATGTTTTTCCCAGAGGGCGAGAGCGCGCGTGTCCTCGCCGGGTTTGGCGGTGCGGGTTTTTGACTTTTTGGGAGCGTCTTTTGCAGCAGCATCTTTGGATTCGTCTTGAGCGAAGGAGGTCGCAAGAAGGGCGACGACGAGAAGGAATACCTAAAATTTCATAGAAATTAAAAATACGTTGTCAATTTAAACGTGGAAATTTTGCGGATTTTGAATTTTAATTTTTGTCTCAATTTTCCCTTCTTCCATGTATTCAAATGACCATTTTGAAACCTGTTCATCTCCGTGAGTTTTGAAAAAAAATGATAATGCTAATCCATCGAAAAATGTATATTTTTTAGGTTTGCAAAGTTAGGATGTTAGAATTTTTTCTTTGATGAGAAAATATATATAAAATTGATTTAAAAAAAATGATAAGTAGAATTAAGTATTTTCTCACGGAAGAAAGACAGTCTAAATTCTATCCTGAAACTTTTCAACCCTAAAAATTATTGATTTTTAGATTCAATAAAATCTTCATTTTCTAAAAAAAACACGTTTCAAAATCGCCATTTGAATACATGAAAGAAGGGATTTTTGAGACAAAAATTCAAATTCAAAACCCGCTTACAGTGGGGCCTTAATCAAACGGAATAAAAGAAAAACAAAAATTTTCAGGGAAACGAAGCGTGTATTCATCTAAATTGTAACATTAGACAAATATAAATTCTCTAAAATATAAAATTCGACGTCAATATCTACCTAAAATTAATATGATAGACTATTCGAGTCAATTACAAAAATAGGCAAAAAACAAAATCTGTCTTTTTCTTCAAAAATTTACACAAATCTACAAACCTTAAAAATACAAGATATACATAAAAAATCAAAATAAAAAATTGCTACATTTTGCATAACCATATCTACAAAACTCGCAAATTAAAAAAATCAAAATAATTAATTTCCTCTTACCGAAATTCTCTTCATTTTTCCAAAATTCTTATACATCCAACAAACTTATCTCCACGAACTAATTAACCACAATGATGTCACCCTCCTCGAGGTGCAACACTTTTATAGAAAATGTATGAATTTTAATTAAATTTACTTCTTGGTCTCAACTCAACCCTAATTATTTGCAACCTTTAACTTAATGTAATTTGCACATGTACTTTATTCGCAAACTTTTGGATTATGAAACCAATATTGACGACAACAAAACAAGGATGGCGAGCAAGATGACGGCATGCAAGCAAGCAAGCAAAGACGAGACAAAGAAATGTGGTACAAGTTCATACATACATAAATATTTGACCATACCTGCATCCACCTTAATTGTATGTAAGATTACGATTTGCATCATCACATGTAATCATTTTGTCCAGGAATACTTAATTTTACAAAAATGCACACCTTAATTTATTTTAGCCGTGTCAGCAACAAGTACAATTTATGTGAGCAATTAAGTCCTACATACGTGGCGTACCTAAAAGTTGTTCAAATGTTCATGTTCCAAGATGAAGAAGATGCATATGATAATTTTGGTCCAGTGTACACATACTTTCCAGAATAAATTATTGATTGCGAAGGTATGGATGGATCAAGATGAGTGTTGAACTTGAAGATTAAAACCTGTCCAAAAGGACAAGGACGACAAACTAGATAATAGTTTAATTTTGCATATTTTTTTTGTTTACATGTTTGCAAAATTTTTGCCATAGAATGAAGTCATGATCAAGTGAGTTGCCAAAAATGTAAAAACAGTGTGGGATTTAGGTAAATTTGTTAAATATTGCAAAATTTCAGTGTGCAAAACTTAACTAACTATATACGCACATCACACGACCAGAGATATGCCAGAGAAACTAGCAAAAGCTACATGGCTCATCGTGTGTATGCACACTACCACATTCCATACGCGTGAATATATGTTTACAGATGTATAAAAAGACACACAAAGACCACTGTTTTTCTGGATTTTCATGGATGGACGAGGCACGATTACGATAAATCCAAAAAACTTATTTATTGGACATCTTACATTATGCAAGTTCATTTTGCCATTTTGCCATTTTGCTAAATTATAGGTTACCAGACTGCCCTTTATTTTCAGAAATCTATTTTTGATAAAGAGCATCTTTGAAGTATGAGCAGACTTCCACGAAAATTAGCCAGTCTTCAAATTCAATCAATGGACTTGCACAGTACATACCATTACTTGCAAAATTATATTTTATAGATAAACGTGCAATTATCTTGTACGATATTTCTGTTTACCTTTATCTGTATTTATGCAAACCCAACATCCTAACATTTGTTGACGACCTGACAGCATGTGGAAAAGCTAATTTCCAAGAAAATGCGTGCACGTAGGTTCCAACAGAACTACATCTACACCTTTGCATTACACCTTCATCTATCAATCTTACAAGGCAAACTACACACAGTTAAATATTTAATGTCTTGTTAATTATCCATACTGGAAATTTTTGTGAAATATGTAAATCTGCTAAATTAATTAATTAAAATATAATTTGGTCTGAAACGACTTCCGCAAAATTTTAGGACTTAATAATGCTACGTTACAAAGTTTACACAAGTTCGGAGCAGGGTAATATATACAGGGAACATGACAAAATTATCATTAGCGTTCTACCCACATTACACTAAAAGGAACGTAATTATTAAAACTTTAGCATGAATTTGCCTCACAAAAGTTGAAACTGTTTACTGCACTTGCAAAGAAATATTACGACGAAATCGAGACCGGTTCAATCGGTTTCAATCTCAAATTCACGCGTACATGGACAACATTCGCCACACTGGCAAGTATATTGCATGTTTCTTTTGTTATTACTGGTAAATCGGCATCATCATCACCTTTGTGGTACACCTTTTATGTATGTAGTGCACATTTCGCAGTCCTACCTACCCACCTTAAACACATACGTAATAACTTCTGTGATCAACAAATTATCCAACTTTTCTGCGAGGAAAGTGAGATTACGTATCGTATCGGCTTGTATGCATTACTTGGTAAACTTGGTACTGCTGGTAAATTACATACACAAAATTTACCAAGTAACTACATACACAACTAGTAAGAAATCCTGTTTTTCTTTAATTCTGCTCCCTTTACATACGTCCACATTAAAAAACTTGTTACCGTCACCTGTAATGTATCAGTTGTTGTTGATGTTTCACTGAAATTCAGAATTTCCAAGTAAACACAACACTTCGTAAATGGTTGACGTATTTTTCAAACCTACAATTCACGCATCGAAAATGGAACCATTCCCCAATTTGAGATGCAGTTGGACCCACGTGAATATTATTTTAGGGTCAGATTTGTCTCATATTTTATTACCACACGTGAAATATAAACGAATTAAGGATAAGTATTAAATAAATGAAAATAGAAAATTAAGTGAGAAATGGAAACTTTAACTTTTGCTAAAGATTTATCATCCCCGCAAGAAATCGGTGTTTTATACTCGGTCCAAAAACGAATCCTAGATCTTTTGAAGATCACTTATCACAATTTTAGTCAAGATAGACTAAATTCGACAAATTCCGGTAAGTGGTATAAAATTTGTGTATACAAATTTATGTATTTATCAAACGCCTAATTATAGTAATAATTAAATCACAACAAAATCAAATAATTATTATTACAATTTGTCCCTCATTTTTCTAAGAATTTTTCCCATCAGCAAATTTTTATAATTTTCTACGCACAACAAAACTTCAATACATTTTTCCTTATCAAATAAACATTCTACAGTTTATAATCCCAATTTTTGTAATGAAAGGTTTTATGCCAAAGTTAAACGACATTAATTAATTAATAAATTTTCTTTTTATGAATTGTAAGATTAAGGTAATATACCAAGAAATTTGTTCAGTTTAGTGCGTTTTTGGAAATCTATCGAAGAAACTTTGTAGCTAAATTATTAAAATTTTTTAAAGTTAATTTTAACTGACATTAAAATAAACTTTATTTCGATATTACTCATGTCGTTCTGAGGCATTTAGTTTAATCACTTTTTCCAACATTTCTAGTGACGACATACTCAAAATGTTCACATTTTTAAATCGAATTTTGGAAAAATGGAAATTATTTTTTTTAAATTTTGAATATTAAACGTAACAAAATTAATTAATTATGAGAAATTTGAAACAAACCTGCTTTTCATTGTTTAGGTTACGGACGTCTTGGAAATGATGGAATTGACGTTGAGCTATTACTTTCATCATTTACATTCTGGATGAACGGATTCTTGTCGCTATTCACAATCGTGACACTTTTAAGCCTAGTCTTTTACGCGATTACACATTGGACGAGAACGGCCAGACTGCTCAATAAATTTCCAGGACCGAGACAGTTACCATTTTTGGGAAATTTTACCATGATTTTGGGACCTTATGAAGGTAAAATATATATACAAAAAAATTAATGTGTGAATTGCAATCATGCAAATTTTGCGGGGTTTTTACATTATTATATTTTTGAAAATATGTTGCAAATTCAAGAAAATGTTTGTAATCTGTAATTAATTTTACAACTTGTTAAGTATGTTCGTAGAGATTACGAAGGAAAATCACCTTATAAACAGTTTGGGCGCATTCTCAACAACTTTCGCAAAGCTTGCAAATCTAATCGATATACATACATACAACGTGACAAGTTTTTGGAATTTTCTAAGATTTCGCAAAGCTTTTGCGGAAAAATTATGGAATTTTTGTTCACAAATTTCCCGAGCAAATATTTTTAATGAGTTGCATTGCGAATCGCAATTTGTGCTGACATTGAACGTTGACGTGAGTTCGCCCGTAGTAAAATTGTACCAATGTCGCTCTTACAATTTACTCGGTTACATGATTTCCTAAAATTTCAACAATTGTATATATTTCTATTTAATATTTTCAGATTTGCAAGGAAAAATTAGCAAAGCAATATCGGAATACGGTCTTGGAACGGGGTCCATGCGTTTGTGGTTTGGATATAAACCCGTCCTAGTTGTGGCCAATGGCAAAATTGCGGAGGTATTTTGGAACACTAATTTTTAAATTCTGGGGTTTTAATTAAATTTCCTAAATTTAAATATAAAATTTGTAATTAATAGAAAGTCTTGACCGGATATGCAAATGTGGAGAAGGGCGACAATTATGGAGCATTTCATCGCGTCCTTAATCAAAGTTTAGTAACTGCTCCAGGTAAATAATTTTCAAAAATTTATCGAAATATTTCCGAAAAGAATATTAAAGTTAAAAAATAAGATTTTGTAAAATAATCTCAAATAATTTTTTTGTAAATTTGATAATTCACAAAAACTTTATTTAGCGAAAACCAAATTTTCGATTTATCTCAATTGCTCGAAAATATTCACCTTTTTTTCCGATCATACCGATTTTTTGTAAAACTATGAATTAATTAATTATCAATTATTTTTCAATTGATTAACTAATTATCGATTATTTGTCAGGTCCGAAATGGCGAAAAGACCGTAGATCTCTCAATCCCGCCGTGGGTTTCCAGTATTTGGACGGATTCATGAAAATATTTAACGAACAAGCAAAAATTCTGGCAGAAATTATGTCCGAAACTTTTAATCAAGACGACGAACCAGACAAGTTTATCAATCTTCTCCCGTACTTTAATAGAGCAACGATGGACTCTGTTTTCCGTGAGTAAATTAGATAATTAAATTAAACTCCAATTAATTCTCCATTGAATTAATTGTTCATTAGATAGAAAATTAATTTATTTTTATATTTAGAAACCGTGCTTGGATCAAAACAGGAAGCTCAGAGAAATCCACAGTTAGAATTTGTCGAAAAAATGAAAGGGTAAGTTGTATAAAACGCTAGATGGCGTGTCCGTATACAATTTAAATTTGGCGGTCATGGCCTTTTCTGAAACAGAAGTTTTTTAGTCTTTCACGCTAGATGGCGTTTCCGTATAAAATTTAAACTTGGCGGTCATGTCCTTTTCTGAAACAGGATTTGAACAGAGTTCTAAAGACTTATATTTTCCTCTCCAAAATTTCCAGAATTGTAAAAGTCACCCGGTTGAAGTTGCTTCGTCCGTATCTCGACTTCCCCGTAATTTGGCGTCTTTTCGGATACGGAGATGAAGAAGAGAAATGCATCAATGCGCTCATGAATTATTCAAAAGTCTTAATCGACGCCAAATTCAAGGAGCGCGAAGAAACCGGGGCCGTCACGGGGACCGCGACGCGACCATTTCTCGCTTATCTCATGGATGGCACGGATGATCGGGAGGATATCGCGTATCACATTAATGCCCTAATGTTCGCGGTAAGTTTGAAAACTAGGGCGACAATATTTAAAAAAATTTGCGAAAATTGCAAGATTTCGCAAAACTATTGCAGGGAAACCATGCGTTTTTCCGAAATTTACCCATCAATTTTTCTTTCGCAAACTCATCTCCATTTTAAATGCTTTAGAAATTGCAAGTAATCAGCGTATAAACAAAATTAAAATTGTACAACAGAGCTGTTCTTACAGATTTGCGAAATATTCAAAATCATAAATTTGCGAATCCTCTCACGACACAATTTTTTTAACTTCGCAAAGTTTGCAATGCGAAATACGAGACGTTATCCTGAGTATGCTTAATAATCGATTACCAATTAATCGATAATACGAAATTAATCATTAAATAATACAATTAGGGAGCCGAAACTACCGCGAGTGGGATGAACTACTTACTATTTTTGCTCGCACTCAACCCTTCCGTTCAGAACAGGCTTATCGAAGAGGTTGACGTCGTATTTACCTCCCGACTCGAAGATGACCAAGATGTCACCGTAACGCAGGCGGATCTCACGGATTTGAAATATACCGAGTGCTGCATTAAAGAAGCGCTCCGATTATACCCTCCAGTTGCGGGATGGTTCCGCCGAATTACGAAAGATGTTGTCTTAGGTACGGAAATAATATTTTTAGAAAAACTTAATCATAAAATTTCGAAATTTTCCATAATTTCAAAAAATTGCTAAATTTCTGAAGCAAGTTTGCAAGCAAGAATTAAAATTTAATATTCAAGACGGAGCTCAAAATATTGAGACATTTCACGTCAGACTTCGTAACTCTGCAACCCCGTAAACTTAAGAAATTTACGAACTTTTGGCAAAACTTGGGAACATTTCGAACGTAATTTTTGCTTACGATATTACAAAAATTTACGAAGATAAAAGGCATGTTTTTGGCTGGTATAAACTTACGTGGTTCCAGCAGAGTTACGAAATCTGACATGAAATGCCTAAATATTTTTCAGCAAAATTTAACCATACGACTTCCACATTTTACATAACTTGAAAAAAAATTCTCAATTTCTGAACCAAATTGCTACAAGAATTAAAATCAAGTTTTAGGTTAGTACTTTGACAAAGTATTTTGACTTTTGACTGTTTTTTATAGTAAAAAATTCTATTCTGTAATTCGATGTATTTGAATAATTTCGATTGCAAATTAATGGAGATCGACAGCTTACCTGTCATACATTAAAAGCAATTAAAATTCAGCGGAATTTTATTTTTGGTGTCAAACTCCTGCATTTTTGGAAACTTGTACGCACATTACTTTCTCTAGACAAAAGTCGTTTACAAATTTGTATTTTTGTATCGACGAAAATTATTTAGATTATTTAGATTTAGATAACAAAATAACCGATATGAAAATCGACATCCCAACAAAATACAATTTTTCTGCAAAAACATGTCCACTTAATTTTACAATTTTATTTTGCATAGTTTGATCAAAATGAAAAATCGTTCAGGTGTAAATTAAATTTCGCAACTTGGAAATTTTTGTAACTCTGAAAAATTTCCAAATTTACATAGTTTACGCAACTTGTAAATATTTGCGTTAACTACACGGGAATATGTATAACTTTATTGATATTAATACCAATCAATTTATGTATTTGGCTTTGATTATGCAGACGATGGTAAAATAATCCCACGTGACGCGCAAGTAGCCATTCTTCCCTATGAGATCCATCGCAACACGGAAATATTCCCGGATCCCGAACGTTTCGACCCGGATCGGTTTAGTCCAGAAAATCGGGACAAAATCCCTACCGGGTGGTGGATCCCGTTTTCACATGGACCACGAAATTGCATCGGTAAAAAAATCTGTACTTGATAATAATCAATAAATTAATAATTAATTAATAAACTTAATCCAATTTATTTAGGCCACCGTTACGCCATAATGCAAATGAAGACCATGATGGTCAAAATATTTACCCGGTTTACCGCCCATACTAAAAATACCCGTGAAGAGCTAAAAATGGTTTACGGACTCGTGTTAGAACCAACGCCCGAGATCAAAATCACACTTAAAAAACGGACATAGTTTTTATACGTAGTGTTAATTATTTTAAAAAAATATCGTTAATTTAACTGTTAATAAATATTTATAATAAATCCTATTTTATTGAATGTATCACTACACCATTTGCAAAAATCAATATTTCGTTTCTTGCGGGTTTGCTAAATTTCCTGCAAAAGTATGTGACCACACCCCTGGGGGTCATATGTATGAGGGCGCAAACCGATCTCGATTATCTCGGCAGACGGACAGACGGATGGACAATTCTTCGGCTAAATAAGGCTTCACCCTGCCCTATAATAACTTCATAAAAAAGTACTGGCATCTGTCGATATTTGTGAACTATATTGCATTGCCAGAAATTCGAAATTGGACGTCCAAGACACCCAATTTTTCAGAGGTGAGGAAAATACATTTTCAAAATACGTATTTTGAGCCCCGTTATCCCTGGGTTTTTATTTCTGGGGCTGTTACACAAACAAAAATAGTAAAATCTAATTGAGGAAGACAACCATCAGTCGAAATTACAGGTTTTATGACGAAATTAACTTTTTATAGCGCTCAAAATAAAATATTTTCGTGATTTTGTAAAAATAAAGTATTTTGAGTGTACGTTTGAAAAACAATTTTAAAAAATTACCGGAATCAATTAATCCATCTTCCTATATATTTAAAGTTGTTTTTCTGCAAATGTGCACACATTTTGCACAGTTCGCTTAATATCAAATGAAAATGATCAATTGTTTTTTTTCTAAATTGCTTTATCTCTCACTATAATTAAAGCATAATGATAAATAGTTTGTCATTACTGTCAAGCGGATAAGCAGGTGCACAGCAAAGAGTGCGTGCATAAAGCATGTCTAAAAAAAATCCTGAATTATAGCATATATCATATATGTCAATTAAGGGTAAAAAACCTGCTACAAAAATCAAGCACGGCAATCAAACATCGTCCCCAAACAGTGACCGCGGAAGGCGTGGGGACATCTGGGGACATTAACATTTGCAGGATAGTAGAGGGAGAGGTTTATATAACGTGGGCAGATGATGGGGACATTGAATTACCGTGGGGACATTGTCCCTCTGTCCCCACACTTCCGCGGCCACTGTCCCCAAAGATTAATTATCTATAAATAGAGAGAAAAGCATCGAACTAAAAAAAAATCAGTACATTTCTGATAAATATAAGCATTTTACATGCTTAATTGTTATTTATTATATAACAAATTTCATAGGGTGTCCAAGAAGCCGTATATTTTTTTTCAAAAATGGATTCCTCATTTTACACCCTTAAGATAGTTCTTCCATTTTTTTACTCATTAATTGAAAGTTTTTCCACAAAAAGTCCACTTTTTCCTTAAAACTAACCAAAATTGAGTCAAAATATATGTAGTTACTTAATTTCAACTACGATCAGTTAAACCACATCGTTACATTTGTGATACAATAATTTTGCATAATTATTATACCAGAAATTTTTAGCAGATCAATGAAGCCGCATTTTTTTCGGAAATTTATTTACCTAATTTTTTACCCTTAAAATATTTCTGTAAATAAAAATTCAAATTTTTTGCCCAAAAAGTGCAGTTTTTACCTCAAAAAATGATATCCATTTACACCAAAAAACGCTACTGAATTTCAAGTCGAACACTGGTTTATTTCACGAATTTTATGCCATATCGATGTTTACAATTGTTGTTAAGTATGTTATTATTTAATAAATAGAGATACGTAAATGCATGCACGCGAATAATAACATCCTCTCGTCTCGCTTCACTTTCTACGAGAAAATCATTATCTTCAGTGCGATGTGAGTGGAGATAAGCGTCTCCTCTGCCGTGTCGCTCCCACCCATGGGACCAACCACTTTTCTTATCTTCTACGACATCAGGATAACCATCCTATTTACATTAAACTCTTTTCATCCCACAATTTTAAGTCGCGTCGTAGTCGTAACGATTATGTATTTATTAGAATGCACTTTCTTTATCTCAACTTTTTATGGGGTGTGTAAAATGTACGAATGTACGTGTAAAGCTAAACCTGATTCCCTGAGGTGTTTGGGGGCCGTTCAAGTAATAACGTTAGCAAAAAAATATTTTATGAAAATTAGTTGCAAACTAAGCAAACTAAGCAAACCATCATCGTCCCATTCTTTTATTTACCTGTTCAAAAAATATTTTTTCATTCAATTTAAAAATTAGAAAGAATTATTCAGTCAAAATGTATTCAACTTAAAAATTTGAAAACATTATTCATTCAAAATTCAATCAATTTCAAAGTAAAAATTATTCACTAAAAATTCATTAAATTCAAAAATTTGGAGAAATTATTCCTTAATCAAAATTTTGAAATAAATATTAATTATTATTTTTGTATCCATTTTATTTCAAATTTAACTTATTACATGGATTTGTCAATATATCACATGTATTACGCATAGCGTGAAGAATAAAAAGCGAATAAAATTATTCATCCATTCTTCATGAATATGAAATGAACAAATAATTATTCAATGCTCGTTCATTCAAAAATTTTGAAAAAATTGTTTACTAATTATTATTTAGTCAATAATAAACGAATAATTTATTCATTCACTACTGAATATAAATGAATATGAACAGCAGAGTTGGCTGATTCGATGTTATTTTGCTCTGGATTAAGAACTACAATTAGTCACTTTTTCTGGGATTAGATTTTTAACTATTCACTGAACAGTTACGATCTCATATTTACATTTCGCACGGGTTAATGTGAGAACAAAATGACGACAAAATATTTGTGCAGCCCGTGCGAGAATTGGTGCATGTTTTTTTATTTCTTTATTTTCATAGCTTTATTACTTACAGATAAAGACGTATCTGTATGCAGTTCAAATATGCAAATTACTGAATGGTATGAGGTAATCATGTCACAATCCTCAGTTTCTAGCCAGGTCTTGATTGATACGCACGTACGCCGTAATTTTTCAAAAATTGTTTGATTTAAAAAAATCAAATTTTGCATGAAAAATTGTCATTCCGTACAAATTACTTGATTCTTTAAATGGATACAAAATGTATTCACGATTCTACAAACTTTTGACCAATCAAGTTTTTCTGAAATTATTTAATAAGTGAGTTGAAAACTTGGTGGTACATAAATATTTTAGGAAATTATAGTAATATTTTGGTTAAAGAAATAAAATAAATATGTCGGGATTAGTGTTAAAATTTGTGATAAATCCGCACCCCACGAGGAGACGGAGGCGGACGACCAATTCGTGGTTGTCTTACTGGCTTATCGGAGTCTTTATCACGATCGGGATACATTTTCGAGCTGTAACCGCCGAGATCAAATGTAAGTAAAAATTTATCTTGGTGATTTTTAAGTAAATTTTCCAGGAATTAGGTTAGACTTTTATAAATTCTGGGTATTTAAAATCCCGAGTAGAAATCACTACTTCGAATTCTGCAGTAATCAACAAAAGCTTAATGTATGTTGTATTCTGCATAAATTTTACTTTACATAATTACATAAAATTTCTACAGGTTTTATTCTGCAGAACCGTTTCTGCATAATTCTGCACAAATCGTTCTACATAAAGCTTTTATGTAGAAAATGGAGCCAAATTTCTGCAAAATAGTTCAAATTTTTAATCTCGGATTGTCCATGATTAAGCAGTAATCATGCCAACTTTTTGTGCAAATATGATTAAATATGTATACGAAATTCGTAAATTATTGTACAAACGTTTACAACATTTACGGGAAATTTAGCTCGTGTAATGGTTAACTGGAATGATACAAATTCAGGATTCTAATTCGTTATCGTATTTTCGCATCGCAACATATTTTCTACGAGAAAAAATTAACCACAATTCAGGCGGAGATGAAGATGAGCAAATCACAATTCATTATTAAAGAGTAATCAGCAAACGTATTTTTATTGTTTACAACGTTTACGAAATTCTACTGAACTCAAGAGTAACTCTAGACTGCAAGTCTCATGGAAATCTAAAAAATAATTGCCACTCTTAACTTATTTACAAGAAAAACTAACTCTTGTCGTTGAACTATTACATTTTCGGTAACAAATTTTATAAATTTCTTTAACCAGATAATTAACAATCCAACCTTATAAAAGCATTTAAGTCTTGTCTGTAAGCTAATAATTTAGTTCAAAATATTTGAGACAAAAGTTTGTAAAGTATAATAATTACCAAAATTTTCAACAAATCGCAAATTTTCAATAAATTAATTCCCATTACCATATTCATTTAGCAAGAAAAGTCGCAAATTTCCACAAAATTATGAAATTGTACCTCTTTTTCAGGTTTATTAAGGCACATTAATGTTCTAAACATCTATATATATGTATGTACTTTGCAAAAAAAAATTCGCAAAAAAACTTATTCAGCTGTTAAGAGACATCACATAAATTTCACGCACCTGGAAATTATAAAATTGCACATCTTTATCAATTTCGTTAATTTCTTTATCATTTTCATTAATGTTCTAAACGCCAGAATCTATACGTTTACAAAAAAAATCGCACAAAATTGCCCAAAACTAAATAAAATAAATCAAATTTTTACCTTGCAGTCATCCCCGTCAATCGATCCGCCCACTCCAAAGGTGACCACGTAATTCTAGACGGGCGTGAAGTTGACCGACCTCATGAACCCCTCGGTCTGGAATCTGCCATCATCCCCACGGTTCATCTGACCCCAAAAGAGCTCAGCCTAAATTACACCGAAGACGTCGCAAAAATTGCAGACACACCCAGCATCAATGACGCCCCAGTCCTCGAGTTTCACGACACGTCAAACCTCCAAGACGAGGAGGACGAAGACGACCGTGACGATGATGACGATGGTGAAGAAGAAGAAGAAGGTGGCGAGAAAAACAGTAAGATTTCCAATTTAAAATTGTATTATAATTTTTTTGCAAATTAAATAGGCACATTTTTGCAAAAATATGTATATGCACCTCTGCATGTATGGCCGTTGAGACAGATTTACATAGCGAAGTGACATTATTACTAAAACTCACTAACAATGGAGGTTTTCAAGAGTATGCTGTGCGATTTTGAGCAAAGTGTGAACGAGTGTCATCAATCACGAATTTTATTTGCATGAAATTTGCGAAAGACACCATCTCCCAATCGGCACGTTTGGTAGAAGGAAAAAAACGTGCAGTAAAGTTGACAAATTCTAATTCTAACTTACCAAATTTTCTCCTCTTCGGATGCAAATATTACTGCAAAACGTGCCCATTGAGAGATCGTGCCTTTTGTAAATTTCATATTAATTAAATTTGTGATCGATTGACACTAGTTTGCTCAAAATCTGGGAGCATGCATTAGGAGACATCATGTCAGAGATTTGTACATACATAATGCTACGAACTGTTAATTATTATTTTCTTTATTAAAAAACCGAAAACTTAAAAAAAATTTGACTATTTCATTTGATATTGAAAATTATTAACAACAGAATATTACAAAATTTGCCTAACTTGTTTGCCGATTTCTTACATCAAAATATAGATATATAAAGTAATGTTCGAAAGATTCAACAGGCTCTCCATTCTTAATAGATTTGGGTAGGTCTTTTCAGTGTCTCAACGTTTTTACCTTACCATGGATATGCCTCCCTCAAAATTTAAAATTTCACCCCCCCCCCAAAAAACCCAATTTTATCCTAAAAAATCCCAATTTTAGGTAACTAATCCATAAACTTTCCCATCAATTCTAGGCTCCCAAATCTCCCGAGAATATCTTGACGACCAAGATCCAGAAACCAATAACCCCACCGATCCTGACTCCGATCAGCAAAGCTTACTTCCCACCAAACGCCACCGTCGTCGCCTCATGCTCCTCCGAGGAATCGGTCATCCGCGGGGGCACGATCCCGAAATCGCCGTCCGCCAAACGACCTCCACCGTATCCTCAATTTCCTCCACGACCTCCTCGACCCACCGTCCTCCGAAGGACTTCGTCATCTACGCCCTGCCAGAACAATCCTTTTGGGGCGTTAAGAAAACGAAACGTCGCCACAACAGTGACAAGGTTACCAACAAAATCCCCTCCACGCCCCGACTTGACGACACCCCGCAGACCGCGCAGGCCATCCCGGTCTCTTTAATCCAACCCGAACCAGAATTCAACGACACGGCGGCGTCGACATCCTCCCGTGGCGTCAGTGATTTTTATTACGAAACGCCACAGCAAAGTAATATTTACCACGAGGAAAATATTGTCCCGACGACGCAACCACCGCCACCGGAGACGACGACCACCTTCGCGACAACGACGACGCCAACGACAACGTCGACGACAACTTCCTCCACGACGCCCACGCCCAGTCCGGAAGACACGTTGAAGATGACCCTCGCCGAGAAAAAGTTTCATCTCGGACAATGCATGAGATACTGTATGGATGCTATTTTATGAAATGGTTTTCAGTAAAATTAGGGAAATTTATTATTATGCACAATAAAATAATTAAATTATATGAAAGAAATATTATTCGAAAGTTTTTGACATCGTTTCTTAATTTTTTTGTTGTAAGTCTGTGTTAAACATTATTAGTACAGATGAGTTTAACGACTTGCAAATTTGTAGTTATCATATGCACAATGAGCAAAGGTTTTAATCGCTTTCTTGATCCAATTAGTGCGACATTTTTATTTATTGGCATTTTTTCCATTGTTTATTATGTAAGGGGACCGTACATAAAGGATGCCATTCGTTGCATATGAGTTTGACTTCTATACTCGCCGTGACGCTACACTCTTATAAAATTGTTATTAAAATCATTACTAGCCGCAGTACATATGTATATGACTATACTGGCACTGGTAATAATGGCTATTACTGTTGTGGTAATGAAAAATTATCACTCATCCTCAGAAACAAACCACTAACCGATCCGACATTAGTAAAATGATTTTACAGCCTTTTACAAAATATAAAGAGACGCCCTGAAATACTTTTGAAATTAGTAAAAGTTTGTAAATTTATGGAATTTACGGTTTTTACAAATTTACCAAAGACTGCCTGAATTGCGTCAAACTTGACATCTTATTTATTATTTATTATTACGGATGCGTTTTATTTTTCCGAATAACTTGTACGCCTTTGAAAAATAAATAGTTATTTGTTTCACTTTTTGGTGTTCATTAGGTAAATTATCCTCTACGTACGGTTAGAAAACTGGCATTAAATGATTTAATATGTAAATTGTGCTGTGAGGATATAATAGGAAAAGTGAAAGGATAAGGGCTAGAGCTGTGCGTAGGGCCGGGTTTACCCTAAAAAAACCCTACCCTACCCTATAGGGTTTTAGGCGGGCCGGGTTTTTTGCCCAGGAAATTCCAGTCGGGCCGGGCGGGTCGGGCTTTTTCCAGTAGGGTTTTGGGCGGGCCGGGCTTTTTTTGTAGGGCTTCGGGCTTTTTAATTTACCCTAGTGATAAAGTACAATATGGCAATTTGAAACAAAACTTCATAGTTTTATGTAGCCCCAGCTAAAGCAGAGTTGTTTATCTGTAATCCTATTGAGTTGTTTTCACTGGTTGGCTGTTTCATTACACGAATCAATTTCATGAATAAATAAATCTCAACTGTAAATCACATCAGTGATTAAGACCAAATTATAAATACAGTTCTATTAAATACAAGGGCTTAACTCAATTTTTGTTTAAACTAAAATAACTCAAATTTAGCAAATATTGATAATAATATGCATTGGATTTGTCCACCATTGCATTTTTTATTAATACCTAGAGTGCATGTCTAATCGAGTCTCCGAAAGCCTTAGCAAGTGCTGGTTTTTTAGGATAAATACGTGCAGAACTGCACATAGGTGGGTTTACAGTAAAAAAGCCCTACCCTATAGGGTTTTGGGCGGGCCGGGCTTTTTCTCAGAAAAGCCCTATAGGGCCGGGCGGGCTGGGCTTTTTCCAGTAGGGTTTTGGGCGGGCCGGGCTTTTTTTCCAGAAAAACCCAGTAGGGCCGGGCGGGCCGGGTTTTTTCCAGTAGGGTTCTGGGCGGGCTGGGTTTTTAAAAATCGGGCCCGTGCACAGCTCTAATAAGGGCTCAGTTGTAGTATTTGGAGGGGTCCGGATTAGGCCTTTTTTGTCAACGTTTCGACCTCAAAGGGTCTTCTTCAGGACGACGAAGAGGATTGCTTCACATGGTGGTTTGTGGGTAAATGGGGAAAAAAAGAAGGAAAAGAATGAAAAGTAAAAAAGTATTGTAAGATAGGAGGAAACAACCGTTAAGCGCGTAACGGTTATATGACTCTACTGGCACGGCAATAACGGATACTATACCCTTTAGTAATGTTGTAATGCTGAAGAATTCATCACTCAGAAAAAAACTACTACCAATCCAGTGTCAAGTTATTACCAGACCGATCCCAGTACGCAGTATATCTCTGACTCTATCAGATTTTTAACAGTATTCTTCGTGAAGGTTCCTACCAAGATAAGAGCAATTCACAATTTAACATTTACATTTGTGCAAATTTCAATTATTTATTATAATCCCATTTTAACAAGGCTATTGTTTGTTCAGTGAAGTGTTGAACTGTCGTTTCCTCGATTCATAAATCCAACAAGCTACGAATGACTTCAGTAATGACTTCAGTAAGCAAATAATAAATAGTAAAATAGTTCCTCTTCCGGTAGGACTTTGTGATATAATATTACGTTATCATTCTTATTTTTCTGGTATGTATGTGTCTTCCTAATAACACATTTTACCGTATCGGCGATGTACATATGAACGTGCACCGTTACATAATCGCTCAATAATCACATTAAAATTTGGAATTCTCGTACATGGAAAGATTTAAGATGAATTGGAAATCATGATAATTAAAAATAACAAATAAAAAGATTATTCCGGATGATTTTTAAAGTTCTCGAAAATTAAGCGCACATTTGTTACTAATTATTTTTAAAAAATTGAGAAAAACGATGATATCTTTTAAAAACCTTGTTTTTTCGTTTGAATTTTAGCTTTAGTTCTAGATTTATTGTAAGTTAAAAAGGATTGAATTCATTCATTATTTATTGTCTCCGTGTAACAATAGTTTTTCAGGCGTGGGAATTTCCTAAGTGAAATAAGCCAATGTGCCAGACAAGCATAAAGTGAAGGGATTTAAACTTTAAGCACAACTGTTAATTATATTTTGTCAGTTGACACAGTTAAAGTCATACGTTGCCCAGTGCATAAAAATTAATGCATGTATTATATTTTGACCGTAATTTTGGAACTCGATAAGTCATCCCCAAATTATTCAAAGTCAATTAATTTTTAATCATTTCTCGCCTTTGGGAATTTATTTTAAAATTCTGAACGGTAAGTAAGTAATTATCTCGTGTAAGTTACAGCACCAACATATATTCCACAATTTAATACCGGTGCTTAAGTCCTCCATCGTACAATGGATATATTTTTGTAAACAAAAAACCTTGACGCACAAAAAATCACATTCATGATTCGCTTATCTTTCTCTCTAAAATATCTTAACTACATATAAATATTTTTTAATCTTGTGTATTCGACTTTCGTTCAAAGTCTTCATGTAAAATTAAAATTTAACCCTGACATTGATTCCAACTTTAAAATGATAAACTGACATTTTAGCAATTTAATTTTACATATGTTACCTTTAGAATTAAGTAAGCTAATAAAGACCTAGCCCTAACTGGACCGAATAATAGTATTATTCGTTCAATATATTATTATTAAAGTATTATTGAGGGTATTCATTATTTCTTCGTATCCTAAGTATTCTTCGTATCGTAAAATAACTTACGAAGCTTACTAGATTTTGTAAGCGTCGTAAGATTTTGTCATCGAAAATCGCGTTACTACGCTTACGATTTTTACGAAACCTGGCCCCTTGTTTTATCTTCGTAAACTATTTTACGATACTACGGATACGAAGAAATAACGAATACCCTCATTATAATACCACTAAACCATCTAATGTTAATCATATCCCTAAAATAATATCGGTAGATAATTTAATCTCGGTGTTTAAGTCCTTCATCGTGCAATGCATAAGTTATTGTGCATATTTTCCTTAAAAAATTGTTGAAAAAAATTCGACATTCATTAAGTATTCGTTTTTCTGCTAAATATCTAAACTGTAAATACATGCATACATAAATATTTTTCTTACCTTGTGTGACTACTTTTCGTCAAGTCTTCATGTCAAATTAAACTTTAACCCTGACATTTATCCCAACTTTAAAATGATAAACTGATATTTTGCAGTAATTTTGCAGATTAATTTTCACACATATATATTAACCTTTAAAAACTTAATAGGTTAATCAAGTCCAAGTCCTAAGGCGGCCTAGATAATATTTATTTGTAGAAAATGCATCTTGTGTAAATTGTGGCACCAAAATAATATCCATAATTTAATATCGGTGCTTTACCCCTTCATAGTTATTGGATATTTTGCCGAATAAAATATTGTTGCAAAAATTGCACACTAATAATTCGCTTATTTTTATGTATAAAATAATATCTTAACGGGACAGAAGTATTTCTTTTCGTCCAAAGTCTTGTGCGTAAGATTAAAATTTAACTCTAACCAACTATATTTAAAATGATAAACCAACATTTTCGTAATATCGGAATTTTATACATATTAATTAACCTTGTAAATAAAACACGTTAAGCAATTCCTAGTCCTAAACTGGACAGTGGATGGAGTTGTATGTAAAAAAATCTTTTGTAAATTATAGTACCAAAATAATATCCATAATTTAATATCGGTGCTTAACTCATTCATACAGTTTATAATTAATCGATATTTTACTGAAAAAATTATTGCAAAAATTTCAAAACTCCTAATCCGCTAATTTTTCTCTACAGAATATCTTAACGGAAAATAAATACTTTTCTTATCTTAGGTGACTACTTTTCGTGCAAAATCTTCGTGTAAAATTAAAATTTAACCGTAAAATTTATCCCAACTTTAAAATGATAAATTGACATTTTAGCAATTTAATTTTACAGTTATTACCTTCCAAATTAAATAAGTCAATCAAGATTAGCCTTAAATTGGACCAAATAATGTCTGACCTAAATACCTAGTGCTAATTATAGCCCTAAAATAATATCCATAGATAATTTAATATCGGTGTTTAAGTCCTTCATCGAACAGTTCATAGTTCATTTGCAAAAATTTCGACACTCATTCGTTTTTCTGCTAAATATCTTACTGTAAATACTGTAATAATACTTGTAATACTGTAAATACATACATATCTAAATATTTTTATTATATTGTACGACTAATTTTCGTGCAAAGTCTTCGTGTAAAATTAAAATTTAACCCTGACATTTATCCTTATCCCAACTTTAAAATGATAAAATAAAATGTTAATAATTTTGCAATTTTTTTCACAGATATTAATTAACGTTATAAATAAAATAGGTTAATCAAGTCCCATTCGTGAGAAGAGCAGTTAAATTTAATCAAATAGATAAAAACAAATTAT